TATATCCTTTCGCCACTTCACCTATAAGGTTCATTCGGTTATAAGACTTACCTTATGCTAGTCTCAAAGTGAGTCTTATAAGTGGCATCCACTGAATTTGGTATAGAAAGAAAAATATAAAAATATTTATATGGTAGGTAGCATTTCCAAAAACTTCAGCGTTTTAAATTTGTTCTATTTTATGACTTAGGAGCATCTCTGAGGGGCAATTGCCCTCCCCCTCCCTATAGGCTGTGTGATATTCTTTTTTGTTATAAAAAATATCTATAATTCTTAAGTACAAATAAGTACAAATGTAACTGGTTTCAAATGTCATAAAGATAATTATCGGATCTTGGAAATACTTTCGTTGAAACAATAATGAAAATGATGTCAAATAATATATTGATTATATCTATTATATCTATTATATCTCGTATCTACTTCTAGCCAAATGCCAATGCAAGTCCACTTCTCTTGTAGGGGAGATTGCTCCCATCGCTCTACCTCAAGGACACCCCTGATTATAACAAGTAGGTTTATATACTTTCAATTATAAGATTACTTGTATTTCATTAAAAATGTCAATATCTTATTACATTCATTTTTGGCCTTTAAGTACATATTACTAAATTTTACATTTAATATTTTCTTAGTGAATACAGCCTAGATGATAACGTAATTCATAATATTACTGTGATGATAATTCGAACTATACAGTATCGTCGTATCAGTTATAATTTTTTAAAAGCAGGAAACCAAAAAAATTTAGAAATTACAATAATAACCCTCCGCGCCGCGCAGAAATTTTATCTGGCCAAAACCTAAATAAATCAAAAAATATAATGAATAAATATAATATTATATAATATCAATAAATTTGATATTGTCATAATCCGTAATAAATACTAATTTTTGATGTTGCGCAGAAATAGAAAATAGAAAAACCCCATTTCATTATCTAAGGTATTACCACAAACTCACGGTTCATATTCTCGATAGTACGTATCGCAATTACCAATAATGTGGAATTTTCAGAAATTTTATTTTCATTTTTTCTTAGTTTTAATATCATCTTTTCTCAGAACGAATTATAGGGAGAACAAAATAACTTCCAATCAATAATGTATGTAAGCTTTTATTTTACAACAATTATAGTTTTTAATTACACAAATTAAAGTGTACCATTATAACTAAATATAACGTTGAATGTATTTAGATAATATAAAACATTATTAGCATGTAAAAAAAGAGCTAATACTGAGAATAAGTGCTGCCACTGTTGTATGTGAGTAGTGGTGAAGGTGCGATACATAAGGTTATATTATTTGTATCTGTAAGCAACGATAAAACATTGCTGACGAAAGACGATTCGCAGAGAGCGCAGTTCAGTAATACAAATTAATTAATTAAATTACAATTTTAAAAAAAATAAAGTACCATTGAAAAAAATTAAAAATTTTGGAAACTTTACCATGTTTAGGTAAGTCCAATATAAGTATTATTACCAAGTTTCAATTTTCTACGTGTATTTATAACCAAATTACAGTAAAACATCTTCCAAAAATTAAAATGTTTTAAAAGCTCAAACGTTTTAGCGATAATATCGTAAAAAAGTAAATCAAAAAGTGAACAAAGTGTCTTGTGATTTTTCGATCAAATAAAAATCAAATAGAAAACGTTATCCGTGTTTTTATAAAATAATGAAATCGTGAAATTATACGATTTCCTACGTTTTTTCCCACTTAAGTGCTTTTATTTAAAATATAGCGTCGAAAAACAAAAAAATAACCTGTTTAAAGCACGATCTAGACAACTTGAGCTTTCAGAAAAATTGCTACATGTAAAAATCAAAGGAGCGAGTTTACAAGAAAAAAACGTATCCACAGACTAGAAGAAGAAAAAAAAAGAAATAGCTACGTTAGGAATCTAAAAAGGAGGAGCTAAGGGGATTTCAATTATTACACACTTTACAACCATACATATAATTTTGTAAAATAAAAGTTTTGTTTATCTTTAATTACCTCAAATATCTTAAATCCTATTTTATTTATTGTTTTTTAACACACTTTTACTAGTTTCACTTATATGTTTGTATGTAATGGAAACTTTAAATATGATTTTCATCCACTTTAAAACATCAGATTTAATTTAAACTTTGCACACTTATCAAGGAATAATAATTCAATAATTTATGAAGTTTGTCCTATTAACCTGAACTGTTCGTCAAAATTAAGGATTTGCTAAAAATACTAAAAGAAAAAAGAATGAATTATATAAATATATATCTATAAATCGATGAAGTAAAAATAATATAATCCAATCCATTAATTACTTCTAAAAGTCTATTAAACAAAAAGTACCAAAACAACTATGTCGGAACATTTTAGTATCTAAATAAATTGTTTTATTTATTTTAGAATAATCATAGGAATAAATTAATTTATAAATAACAATAATCAACTAATGATTATAATATGATTACATATTATATACTTCTTTAAATAAATTATAATACATACATACATAATTAGAATATCTGCATTAGATAACAATATTTACAGTGAATTGGTTCGAAATAGGCTGTTAACTACTTAGATGTCTTCACCTCATATATGATATATTAATATTACGTATTTTCATTTTAGTATTAAATTTATACTTTAAATAATTTATTGAAAAATCAAAATTTATTAATAGGTTTAAGAAATAATACAAAAAGTTTGCAGCCTTGCTCAGTAAGAATATACTTGATGATAGTTTCATTTCGGATTTAGAAAACAAAATTATAGGTTTTTGTACTTCATTGAATAAAAAATGTACTTCATCCAATAGAACATTTAATGTGTCAATAAAAAAAAAATGAAGATTAGTTCAATCTAAATTTTAATATACTTCCACTACTTAGTTTATCATCTTCTAGTACTATAGTTTCTTCGACTCCTATTCCTTCAACAACTAAGTCTACAGCAGGTACAGATCCAGAGTAATAATGTACATTATTTTCTCATACAAAAATCGAAGAAATGATATGTCTGGGGGACTTAGACCCCTAAGCCCCCTGGATCCACCCCTGGTTTACAGTTGAAAGAGCCGTTAAAATACATTTTTTTAAATTATAAATTTTAAATAAAAACATTTTATTAAGGTAGTAAAAACTTGTAATATGTAAAATGTATGGGTCAAATACCTATGCTGATGATACATGTTTACTATTTTCAGATACATGGAACTTAGTATTAATAATTATAATCAACATAAAAACTCAATTTAAAAAAAGAACAATACAATTTATAGGTCTTCGTACATAATTATTCAAATTTTCCATTTCAAAATTTAAAAGTTTGCGATTGTTATGATAAAATAGATAATCCAAGTTACTCTATAATAAAGTGACCGAAATAAAATATTTGGGTTTGATGTCCGACTATAATATGAGATGAAATATGGATATTTTAAACATTACAATGTAACTAAAAGCAATTACATTAAAATTATATAGATTAAATAAAATCACTTCCAAAGGCACTATGTGAATTGTATATATATCACTAAACTAGTCTATTTGTCAGTATAGAATAATTGTATGGGTAGATACAACTGACAATCCATTAAATATTTAGCAAAATAAAGCAACCTGTCTTAACAAAAAAATAAATCTGGTTTCACAAAAGACAATAATTTAGAACATAATGTTTTCCCCCTATAGAAGATTTCTTTCTTTTATAAAAAAAATTTACTATTTTTGTTTTATTCAAATAATTTTCTTCACTTAGTAAGAAATTTAATAACAGTGAAACCACAGCATATAACTTAAAAGTAAATTATCCAAAAAAAAAAAAAAAAATACAAACCAAAAATTCATTAATTATTGAGGACCTAAAATATTCAGTTCCTGAAATCTAAATGTAAAAAAATATTTATGAACTAATACTAAAATTAATGTTAATAGATATATAAGTCAAATATTATTATGTGATCTGTAAATATGTATAAACTGTAATAACTTTTGTTCGATTTAATATATTTGATGTACATTTTTTAAATAATAAGTATGCCTCAGTTTATGCATACAGTACAGTTTATATATAAACATTTTTTTTTTAGGGAGAGGGGAACTTAAAATAAACAATTTTTTTTAAAAAATTCAAAATAGCCATTTTGTAAAATAGATTTATAGAATATTTCTGATGGCTGAAACTTTTGTTAAAGTATGGTCATTTATTTTCTACAATTTTTTAAAAATTTGAATAATTTTCTTTTCAATCATAACAATATTGTTAATCAACATAAATTACTGTTATTGATTGATTGAAACTACCTAATAATATACTAACTATAATATGATAATATTATTGCATGATATTAACTCATGGAATAGAAAATCCTTACTAAAACTGATAATTGAATAACTACAATAGGTAATATTCACGTTTGCAAAAGCTTCAAAAAATCATAGAAAATAAAACCATACTTTAACAACAGTTTTAACCTTCAATATTTTTCTAAAAATCTATTTTAAAATATGGCCATTTTGAAGTTTTTATTTCAAGTCTCCTTTTGCCTAAAAAAAAATATTCATATTTAAACTGTAGCGCTGAGGCATACTAATTATTTAAAAAAATGAACATCAAAATTATTGAATAGAACAGAAGTTACTGCATTTGTCAAATACTTGTGGAACACCCTGTGTATATAAAATATATATATAATAATTGTATCTATGTATTCATAATTAGACATAATGATCTTCTTTTATTTTATTTTTTCTCTTATATTTGTTTAAATTATATTAAATAAAAATAATATTAGTAAATTTAACTAAATCATCATAATAACTCACCTTTCCACATCAAGCTTGTTCATAGGAGGTAAAACAACCACAATAATATGTATACTGTACAATTATAAATAGTAATAAATTGTTATTTATGTATACAATTTTTTTTTAGACAAACTGCAAATAGTGCCACCCCAAAATTATTATATATTAAATATTTAAATAATTGTATTTAAATATACACAGTTTAGACTTCTATTAAATAACTTTTGAAATAATTGCAAGACATCCAGTTAGTTCTTGACAATCTTTACTTGGCGCAACTAGGCATAATAATATTATTTATGTGCATTGATTACATCAAATTTTGGTTAAGATTATAAAATTTAGTGTAAGTATTTCAGTTTATCACTGTATTTTTATTATAAGCTAATACAGGTTTAACAAGCACAGTAGTCTAGTTGGTAATAAATCATTAAATTATCATTATACAATTTTTTTTTTTATTATACAATATTAAATAACAAATAATAATTCAATTATAAACGTATGGAAGATACTAGAAAATAATTAATGATTTCCCAATATAAATTATTAAAAAATTGTAATAATTCTATTAGATAGAAATGTAATTTATTTTTACAGTTATATAATTTTTGTTTTTACTAATTATAAAATTTAATTCAAATTTATTGTAATAATAAATGTAGTTTAAAAAGTTAGGTATTTTCTAGAAACTTCCAACACATTTAAAATTATTTTCAACAGTAAATATGTTACACAAATAATAACATGGAATCACTTTTATTTCTTACTCATTTTTATCAGTAGTCAAACTACTTAAAACAAACATTTTTAATTATTCGGAACCAATTTAAGTTTTTCAGCTTTTATACAAGGTTTCCCATATCGTCTAGCGGCTTCATCAAAAAATGCTTGTTCCATCTGTTTAACTAGTTCATTGAAAAACATATTGGCTACTGTTGAATGTAATTGTGATTTAAATTCGTAAGATACAAAAAATGTGATTATACAAGTGTTAGGATTATTTTTTATTCCGGGATCACAATTCCATTGAGTAATTAAATGTTTAAACAATTTTCCATCTCTACACTCAGCTTTAATCATATGGGGACGTTGAAAGGTTATGTGTGAAACATAACTTTCTATTATTGGCGGAAAACCAATTTCTAAATAAGTTTTTGCATGATTTTTTTCCTTTAATTTCACTGTTGACTGTCGACAAAATGGTAAAAAATGTTTATAGTTTTCTGTGTCTTGAATTACATCAAACATTTGCATAGGAGAATACCTGTAATGTGTAATTAGTTTTAGTAATCAAATATTATGTTGTCATAATTTCTCAAATATGTAATATTTACCCAATTAGTTTTCTTTCTTTGTAAACTTTCTTGTTCCTGTTTCCAGCATTTGGTACTAATAAGTTAATAAATGTTCGCTTTGTTATCCTTACAGAATACATGATTTGTTTTTCATCTATTAAACTGATAATCTTCCATTTTCTATAAATAAATCAAAATACAATAACATTTGTTATATCATCTAGATAAAATATTTTTACATTTTTTACTAATTTTATATATAAAAAAAAAAAAAAATAGAATTTTCTTAAAAATTCTTAATAAGTGACTAATTATTTAACTAAGTAAAATTATTTCTCAATGCTTTATGGTTTTTTTAGTATGATATTTTAAAGTTATACAAGTTCAAACATTGTTATGCTATCTATTGTTAAAAACTAATTAGTTAATAATAATAATTAATTCAAAATATAGCCATCCATTAATGCATAACCTTAAAAAGAAAAAAAAAGATAGAAATATTTGCTTAAAATGTATAAGTTATTATACTTAATTGAAATAATATTTGTTTACATCTTTAATCAGGGCTCAAGATATATAGCACTATAGACTATTAAAACATGTTTTATAGGTAGTTTGCAATAAAAAGCAGAATACAAGTTAGTAAAATGCCAAAAATGTCAAAATTACATTTGGTAAAAATTACCAAAAATATTTGAATTATTTATTTTTAATAAAACAATAAATATAGTATTCACTGGCATTAGATACAATACAAAATTATTATATCCATGAATAATCATATACCTAATGCTTATTCAACAATTACAGCTAACCAATTTTAATTGTCTTAAAAATGCAACTAGCATTGAAATATCAACAAGTAGCAAAAAAAAAAAAAATAAATTTAAAACAAATATACAAGTTTCCTGATATTATAAAAAATAGGAGAACAGCCACCTAGTTGATAGTAATAATGCATTTATTTCAACAATAAAATTACATATATATATATTTTGAAGTAGGAAAATAGAATACAATATTGCAACATTCCCTATAAGCTATGTTTGTACTGGAGATACAATAGAACTAAAGATACATATAGATCTGGTTAATCACAGGGATCTTAATAACCACTAGGTATACAGTCGATTAAGAATCTAGGTGGTATGTTACCAAAAAATATGATCAAAATTAATTCTATTCTAAAAATGGAATAATATATTATATCTATTGTACGTTGGCGACTCAGTAAAAAGTATATTATCTACAAACATCAATTAATCAGTATTATTATTGTTATATACCTGAAATCATTGAAATACACTGCATATATATTTGGTAATGAATATCAAATAGATTTTATGATAAAAAGAAAATTAATATTTTTTTACGATTAGTGTCAATAGTATTATTCTCAGATTTCTTTATAATAATGTAAACTGTCCTGATATTTGATTAGACTAGAAACTGAAGCTGAAACACTGGAAACAGGACATTAAATTTGAATCATTCCTACCAAAATAATTTTCAATTTTACGTATCATATTGAACAGACATTAATCCTGTATACCTAACCATATATTAATCAAAATTCAGTTTAGATTCAATAAGTAGAGATCCATCTTAAGGTTTATTTGGTTAATATATTGGACATTAAAATTAAATATTTTATTAAATTTTTTAAGTACATACTTACACAATTTATTTATTGTGAAATATAAAAAAAATGTAATAATTCAAGGTTAAAATGATATTTTAAAACTTTTCAAGGTCTAAATAATAACAACAAAATATAAATAAAATAATAGATATGCAATATATTAAGAATTTGTATTAGATTGATAATATTGTAAAAGTAAGAAACATGAGTTTTCCACTATACCATATGATCTCCAATAATTTTAGCTAAAATGAGTAGGTGTTGAAATTTAAGATTTGATTTACTTATTACAATAAAAAAAAAAAAAATTGATACTGTAAAAAATACTGTGTCTATCAAGGACACAACACATACGTTTTATAAGAAATTGATAAATTATTGAAATTCAAATAAAGTCATAAACATTTTTACAATAAAACAAGACAATTTTACAAAATAAAATTCATATTTTACCTGCTTGTATTAATCAATTGTCTAAAATTGATAAATGCAGCTCTAGACATCACTCTTAACTAACGAGTCTATCGCGTTTAAAGAACCTTTGGCATAATCTTACGTAAATTAAAAACAATAACGGTTATGTATATTTTGTTAATAATTGATTTATTAAACATTTTGACTAATTTATAGCATTTTATGTACTGCACATATATTATTATGGGACCTAGGACTGCAAATTATAAGGCGCGGAATTGGCACGAAATGTATGATAAGTGATAACGTTCAACTGATCAATAGTGTTAATGGACGAATACGTCAAAACGTTCCCATCTACTATTTCTCCACACAACGGTTCTTCTAAGACCGTGCTCCATACCTATGACAGAGTAGGGGGCAGTTGTTTTAAATGATAAAGACAAATAATGATAAGGATAAATAATGACCGGTCATTATAAATACAGTCGATTACGGCACCCAATTGAAAAAGCATTATAGGTGTATCATTATGATGCTCTTCACTTTTACTTGTTATCTACCCGACGTGGTTTTGCACAACAAATCGAGGGTTATTTTCGATTACAATTATCCGAATAAGCGCAGCGAGTGGAGAGTGGAACGAGAGAAATTGAGTCTCCATCTATAATGCTTTTTCAATTTGGTGCCGTAATCGACTGTATTTATAACAGACATAAAACGAAATATTTCTATACCTACCTATATATTTTAAATTTACAGAAAATATATTATCTGAACTCACAAAATTGGAAATGAAATAGCAATGATATTAATTATTTGAAATTATATTATATAGACAAAATACGATTAGGAACTACTTTTGTTTGAAAAATTAATAATGGAAAATACATTGTCAGGAACAAATACAATTAAGAAATTTAATGAACAGAAAATATGTTATTTGGAATCCACATAACTTTAAACATTGATACATTTGAAAATTGAAATAGGTACCTACATTATACCTACTTATTATTAGAAATAAACATGGTTTGAAAATGTAATAAATTGGAAAAATATTGCTAAAAACTTACTGCAAAAAGTGTTTGGAATAAATTGGAAATTAAAATAATAAATGAACGGACATACTTCGCACGTGGGTGGGCCAATGCTGTAAGTGAGGAGTTGGACAGGTAGTAGAAGGGAAATATTATTAAAAATTACTTCTATAAAGTACAAACTAGAGAAAATTTTATTTCAGAAATGATGCTACTTTTGAGAAAGATTTATTGGAGAAAAAGTGTTTACAAAACTAAAGAAATAAACATCATTGTAAAACCAATATATACCTCACTTCACTAAGAATCTAAAACCTAATCTAATTTAACTTAACCTTTTATTAATTTAGTATATATAATACCTATTCTACAACAATACAATATAATGTTTATTAAACTGGATTTCATTACATTATTGTTGGTACCTAATGGATGTTCCATTTACTTAATATTTGTTCTAAAAACTAATTATCCATTTTATGTATGTTTCATTGCTTATTTTTCACAAAAATTATAATTTTAATAAATATATGATTTATTACATATAATTTGTTCCAAAAGTAAAATGTTTTAAAAATGTATAATATAGGTACATAATATATTTGTTCTGGAATTTAATTTTCCAATAAATGTTCCATTCCATGAGTGGTTCGAAAATTGTTTTTTTTTTTATTGTAATTTATTCCATATAATTGTATTCCATAAAACTAAATTTTCCATTAATTATTTGATCAAATTTTTATCTTTCAAGGGCATGATTTTACAGAAAAAGAATATTCAATTATAAATAATTTCTAGCAACGATAGGCATCTAATATTAAAAGATTTAATTGTAATATTGCTTAGTCTGTAGTTTTTGCCTGCAGAGTGTAGACGAAGCGAATGGAGAAAATTAATTTAAAATAATCACTGTTTCATTAGGCAATTGTTAGTTTTTTATTTTGAGTATTCTGTGTGCAGTATCACAAATTATATTTTATATTATAGTATACATATTTTATTATTATTATATTATGTATTTTAAAGCATTTTCTATAAATTGTATTATTATTATTATTAATTTTTTTTTTTAATAAATTAATTTAGTTTTACAAGAATTATGTTTTAGTTCATGTTATATTAATTTAAAATAATATTATTATATTCAAATAGGTATTTAAAAAAGTAATAACCTTGATTTTGTATAGGATTTAGTTTAGTATATTTTAGTATTCTTATTAAGAATATAATAATGATTTTTCAAGTATTAAACAAACTGTAAAATAAAATATTATCTCTATAAACTACCTAGTTTTATTTAATGTATAGGCACCATCAACAATTCCAAAATGATTGAAAAAAAATCAAATTTTTCTAAAATCCTCTTAAAATTATTGGATCATTTTGTTTATGTTTGTTTAAAAACATCATTAATTTATATTTATATTAGTTTATATATTATTAATATATTTTTATTAAATATTTATATAGAAATTATATATTAATCCTTATTATAGTAAATTACAATAATATTATTATTATAATTAGACAATTTCAAAAAATGTAGATTTTTACATAGTACTGATTAGTATTAAGTATTCCTATGTGCATAACAAAATTTGTAATTTGCCATAATGATTTTTGAAGTATTAAACAAATTAGAAAATATCTATATCATTTCTATAATTGTATTGTAACTATTTTCATTCAATTTATGCTAATAAAAATAGGGACAAAAGTTAAGTGTTCATTTCTATATTTTCATAATATTAAAAACAAATATTTAAATCAAATCCAATGTATAATAAAAATTGAAAGGCAAAACACCACAATTACCACTATTATGGTTTTATTATAGCTGTAGCACCTATGTACAACAAATAGGTAGTCATTTCAATAGTATTCACATATAATTCATTGAGAGTTTGTTGTTCAGTAAGTAAACTCATCATTTATTTATTTATTTTATTAATTTATTTATGCTATGACCTAGTTTCTACAGGTTAACAAAACTTCCCTTATGACACAAGTTAGTTTTCGTTCAACAAACGTTCGTTTTTGATTAGGTATCTGTCTTAGTTCGCGTGACTATTATGGTTGGTGATTCCACATGTCACTGGCATAGATACTCCCACCATATACGTTCAGTCACATCATAGGTAGATACATTAAATATTATAGAAATATTATTTAATCAAAATATTATTGTTATTTTTATTATTAATATAGATTTAAAACTAATATTCGATTATAATTCGCGTGTTTGACATTATTAGTGCAAATTAAGTATATAGATACCTTGCAGTTATGTTTTATTGAATTTTTCGATCAGTATAATATTATATTTTACTACAGCAGTTGTGAACACGATGATGAGCTCAAAAATAACCGTGTGTATTGCTATATTGCACTTATTGATAAATACGATTTTTAGCAGTACTAATATGTACAGCATTAGTTCAGGACCAAGGAATAACGATACAGTTGGTAATGATCACATTATTTCTTAACTTATTATATTTTGAATTTTTCTTTTTATTAAAATTTTAATGTAAATTATTGTATTTTGAAAATTAAACAAGATGTAAATCATGTATAAAAAGAAAAAATACATTGGTTAATGGTTGTTATAAAATATAAAAAATAAAAACATATAGAATAAACTGTGTAAAGAGCGCATAGGCTATAATCGTTAAATTTTAAAACCTGATCAGATAATGTACTTAATTAATAATAATATTATAAAGATGATACTAATGGAGCAAAGAGCATTAGTATCTAAAAAACCGGCGTGGAGAGAAGTGTAGATTCTGAGTGGAGCGAAGAAGCTTGTTTTCTCTATGGTTTTAGAAAGATGTTTATTTTTTTTCATTTGTGTGCAACTTTTCTACCAGAAGACTTGCTCAGATTTTTAAGTGTAGCACCTTTTCTGAAAGGAAATCGGTATGGAGAGGTCCTTTAGAAGGTAATTTTTCGATTTTCCCAAGAGTTTTCCCAGGAAATGTGAAAACCGGGAAAAAATAGAAAAACTTAGAAAAAGAGCAAAAATCGATACAATATTAAAAAAATATTATTAAAGAAAATAATAATATATAATATATCTATTTAATTATTTTACCATAATATGACATATATATTTTTGACAAAGCATCACTGTCAACTGAACTCCGCTTAGAATCATTTTTTCGTTTTCAATGGTTTATCGTTGCTTACAGATATATATTAAATTCCTTTCTGTATCTTACCTTTTCAACTTGCCACCTACAACAGTGGCTGCATCCATCCCCATTATCCCAGGACAGCTTTTTTTAAATTACCAATGTCTATTAGAAAGGAGAGCAATAATATTACATAGCATGTGTTGTGTGAATGTATGATCAGTTAGGTACTGTCACTTTGCTTAGTATAGGTATAATATACCTATATATTATTATGTTAAATACAGTTTTTTATATAAGTATCACTTGTATACCAAATATTTTAGAAAATACCTACTTACGTGTATATGTTTATACTTATATAATTACGTGCTTATATGTGTACTGAATACTTATATAAGTTACAAAAATATTGAGTTTTCTAATTTTCACCGGCAGCAGAGAGGGATTTGTTTACACAGAATTAGTGTTCTACATTTGCATGAAACTAAATTTTAATAATTAATCATTTCAATATTTCAAACATTGTAAAACGTCATACACTTATATTATTTAGGTACATTATTGGTAACTATATTATTTGTAAAATAAAAATAATTAAATAAAAACGTAGGTACGTTTTACTTATTAAAACAAATCAGGACAATCGACCGAATTTTATCACAATGTTTTTCAATATATAATACTTAATATTATTTGACTAGGTATGTCAATAGTACTCACGCTTTTTCATATCGTAATTTTTGTATTTTATTATTTTTATCTTCCGAATATTATAAGTAGTGTATCAGTATAAAATTTCACATTGTTAGAAATATTTCAATAAATTCTTGAAAAATAGTTTCATGTAATTTTAAAATACCAATTATAAGTAAATATTATGCAATTTCGACACATTTCTCTGTGTATAAACAATAACAAAACTGTACTACTCTGTCAAACAGTATGAGGCGTATTAAACAAGACTTTGGTTAATTATCCTATCTCGAATGTGCGTGAGGACAACATGTTGAGAGGAAGTTCATGATGTTTGCAGATGATATAATAGCTTTTTTAGGAGACCATATGGAAGAAGTTAACAATAAGCTTAAGGAATGAAAAGCAACACTAGAAGGAATGGGACTAAGAATAAATTGAAGCAAAACAGTATACCTATATAGAGTCAGAGTGTGAAGGAACAGAACAGCTAACGAAAATAATCTGTGAGGCAACGTTGAGAGTTTTAAATACAAGAAAATTGAAATGAAACTTAAAAGCATGTTCTACAATAGTATAATAAAACCGGCTATATTGTAACAGAAAAATACTACAGAGAATGGGTATAATAGAGATGAGAGACGAGAAGAATGATGAAAGAAGATAAGATAAGAAATCAGTACCTATATAAAAGTTTAAGCGTGGCTTTAATATTAGACAAAACGAGAGAAAGTAGAATGTGATGGTTTGGGTATGTTACCTGAGAGAAATCTGAAGTAGTAATTATTGTAATAAACATAAATGTAAAAGGAAAGAGAAGGAGACGAAGACTGATAAAAAGTAGTTGGGTGCGATTGAGAATTATATGATGATACCTGGTGTATGCGAGGTTGGAGATCAGGTAAAGTGGAAATTTAGGTTGAGGATGGCTAACCTCAAATAATTAAGATGAAGGTGAAGGAGAAGAAGACTCGGAAAAAACTACGGTTAAATATACGGTTTCATTATTATTGATATTCCAAATTCTAATCGTTGAGATCGAATATTTTCACAGGATACTTATACTTATATTTGTACTTTTATTGACGTGGACAAATTTTCAAAATATTCTGATGACTTTTGAGCTATTTATAGAAATTTAACATTTTTTATTCGCGGCTTTCGCGTACTAGTACTATTTTTTGTACTGATTTTTTCCCAAACCAAATTTTTTGAAAATTTAACACGAGATTCATTATAAATTTATTAAAAATTTTGTTATAAAAAAAGTAAAAAATTGAGCTTAAAATAATATACTAAATTAAGTACATTTTTTTAAGCACTTCAAGTTCAAATTTTGACGAATATCATAACTTCAAAATATATTTAACCTTATTTCGTTCAGAATCGTACTTTGTTGGTAATGATTTTTGTTATATTCAGACATATATTAATCTTTTTATCCTAACTTCCAAACTTCCTACCTATAACAGTGGCATATCTTTTTTTTATCAGTTTTTAAAATTATTATTTTCACTTATATGCAAATTATATTTCAAATAAAAATAGTGATCATTATAAACCCAAAGTTTGCTGTGACTACAAAAAATGAAATTTGGAATACGATCAATGGATATGTTGAAACATTGAAACGAGGTATTTTCAAACAAGCTGGAGTTTCTGTTGAGATTTATACAAGAACTGATATCAAACTTTCGAGAGGTATATTTTTAATTTTTTTTTTATTTAAAACAAATTGTATAAGTATTACCCAAAATTGAAAATCTTCATTGAAAACATTTTATTATGTTTAATAGATATACCTAAAAAATAGAATTTAAATACTATATAATACCTATTCATATACATAATTAATAACAATATGCAATTTTTTTTTACTTTTACTTTACTCTAGGTACCCATGGTTATGATTTTCAAAAGAAAATTAAATTTGAATTAAATTACCTACTATTTACGTACATTATTACAAACAAATTATATTTTTAAGCTTTATTAAAAAAAATTGCGTTTAATTTAATTTTTGCTTATCAGCATTTTAGTCAGGGAAGTTTTTACTTTCCTACTTTTTAGTAGTATAAATATTTGATAATATTGATAATTTTTTTTTTATCCAAGACCAATTTAGATAGAAGTCATATGTATAAACTAAAATTTATTATACTTGTATGTTTAGATATTGTTTCAATATTTATAGTATCGTACTGTGATGATATTTGGAATTTATACTATAAAGCTGAATGTGAAGGACTAAATGGATTCCTATACATTTCTATAACAGGTTGTGTACTAATCATTTAGTAAATAGAAATTAATAAACATAGACATTAAGTAAAAATGTAATTTAATTATCAATAATCATAATTATAATATCATTATTAAAGAAAATATACTATAAAACAAGTGCATTATTGAACATTTTAAAATAAAACATTTTTTTTAAATAATTTTTAGATACCGACTGTCCAAGATTACCAATAGAGGAAGCAATCACTATACCTTTGACTACTTCTAATTCTGAACTATCTCAAATGGTATTGGATTTAAGAATGTCAAATTCGTTATCATGGAAATCAGCAGTTTTAATGCATGACAATTCCATTGGTAATTCTTTATAATATTAATTCTTGAACCGATTATGGATATAAGTAAACTATAATATCAGGACATTTAAAGTTAGATAAGCGCTAAGAAAATATGTTAAGTGTTTCATTTTGAATATGCGTGGAAAAATAGATTTGTATTTAGTTACAAAGTTGGTCAGCACTTTATTCCAGTAGTAGAACCAAAAGTTGATTGTGTGATACTATTACGGGCTAAAAAAGGATGGATTAGTATCGAATAAATCAGTGGGGTGGTGGTGCTGATTACCAAATGTTTCTCTTTCAAAAGTACAAAGTATCGAGCTGTTTATACACTAGGTATCTCAAAACGAATAACGACACACGACGGCGTATTTTAACTACAGAACTAAGAAGAAACCGTATATTTTTGAAACGGTAACATTTGATTACTATGTAATTTTTCCTTAGTTCGTGTTTAACCAGGCGCGTACCTGAAGAGGGGAGCGATCGCGTAGGTCGGGGGTGTAGCGAAGAATGTATTGGTTTCACAAAGATGTTTATTTTTATTTTTTTATACTGTGAACAATTTTTTCTAAAAATCTTGCCCAATATGTACGTATGACACTATTTTTTAAAGGAAATATTGTCTATTATTGAAATAGAGTAGAAGCTGCTTTGATAAATTTTAAATCAAGATATACATTTATTCTTCCAAATCATTTTATGTTTAGCTTTCTATTTTTTGTGGAAAAATCATTCTATAAATATTATGATAATCCTAATTCTTTTTTTACTGACAGTTGACGATTTCTTTAATACTAATAACAATGTTTTATATTTTCCATGTAAAGATCACAAAAATGAAGTTCTTACATAAGTATATTTTAACTAGGACCAACAATTATGTGACTTAAAAATCTATAAAATATGTATGCAGTTATACCCTAAAAATTATCAAAATATGCCCTTAAAATATGCACTAAAAAATAAAATGTTATTGTAAGTAATATTCTATTTTTAATTAAATAATTTATTTTTTTATATTTATACTATAATACAATTATTGCCAATGATTTACAAAAATGTGTGGTATTCTCATCATCTGAAAACCAAACAAAAATGTTTAATGTTATAAATAAAATAATAATTAATAAATAATAAGTTAAACCAAAACATTAATCAAATGATAAACATTTAAATTCTTATCTGATGTTATTGCATTGAACAATTAATGATTGTGATACGTTTTCAAATAGCATTGATCGTGGATTGTCTGGTAATACATTTTTTTTTTTATTCAATTAGTAAAAATGGTAAATGGTAAATGGTAAATATAAAATAAATTCAAATTAAAAAATATCAATAATAATAAATGTTAATGTTGCTTAATACATTTTCAATATCATTTTCTGATTTGCCAATTGAGTATAAATTCAAACTAAAAAATACTTCATGATAATGGCCACGATAATTATCATACAAATAAAACAAATTGTATTTAATAATATTAATATTATACTATATATCAAATTGTGTTGAAATTTAACTTTGTTTTGATAACCTAAAATTCAAATAAAAATAGGTATGTTGATTTATTATCATTGTAAAATATAATTAATGGTAAAACCCTTTGCTGGAATAAGAGCGCTATAAGCAGTCTGTCTCTTATCCACTAGAGTGGCATATTCATTCTCATATTATTATCTATGGGTATAAGTATACAAATATAAATCTTTTTTTAGGTGATAACATTATTCAACAAATTATCACTTCTTTGACAAAACATTATTCAAGTATTTCAAGTGATATTATTTCACCATCAGTATCTATTTTTAAAATTTTTACTCAAGGTTCTGAGTGGAAAAGGTATTATAATTATTTAAACATATTACTTTAAAAAATACTTATAAATACATATTTGACCCGATAATATACAAAAAGTATATTATATAATGACTTTTTTTTTAAATGTGAGGCTTATAAAAATAAATCATTATAATCTATAATTTTATCCTTAAGGAGAAAATCATTTATAGAAGAATTTGAATATTTTTTAAGAAAAAGTGAAATAAATTCAAACTATATTTGTATTGTTAGTATACAATATGTACCTTTGATTATAGATGTGGTGAGTTAATAATTATAATTAAATAATATTTAAAAATTTGTTTATTTTATGGGAATTTTATACTTTTAGGCTAAATCGATGAATTTGATAACTGCGGAAAACAGTTGGTTAATTATAATTCCAGATATAGATTCATCCAGAAGTAATATATCATCGCTTATCAATCTACTGAATGAAGGCGAAAATATATCTTTTATTTACAATACTACACAAATAGGACCAAAATGCTTTGTAAGTTCAGCTTCTTCCTCTCTATGTATTAAATTCAGTAATTGGAATTTTATTTAAAGTTGTGGTCTGATGATAACACAATGCGAATAAAATACTAAAAAAATATTGTTTTTCATTTTATCATTATTTTCATTTTTCATTTTAATTAAAATCCCAAACAAAGTTTACAATATTATTTCCAATTTTTATAAATGTTGAAGTATATTTATTTTATATGACATGTATAATAAAATAATTTCATATGTTTTAAAGGGAGGTCTTTTGTGTTTGGTTGATGAATTAATGTCTGTGTTCTTAATGGCATTTAACACATTGATTCAACAGGAAATAGAATTGTCACAACGAGTATCGGAAGAAGAATGGGAAGAAATTAGACCATCAAGAATTGATAGAAGACAATCAATGATATCCTTCATAAAAGTAATAACTAAAACTAGTAGAATTCAAAATAATATCAACAATATACCTAACAACAATATTATAATTTAATAATTTAATATTTAATTGGTACCTTAGTAACTAATGTTTATTGATATACTCTATGCAAATAATTTTAAACCTTTTACAAATTGTGACATAATTTTTTTTCATGTAAGATGACCCTTTCAAAAATCATTTAATAGAACTTGAATAATAAAATATACAGAATACATGATACTTATGGTTTTTAGTTAAAACTATCACACATTACCCAACTGCTCTATGCATTTACCAAATTTGGTTAAAAATGGTTAAATTAGAAAAATAATTATTATACATAACTCATATAATAGGTATAATGAAAATAATAATTCATTAGTACCACACATAATTTGAATTGTTCTAAAACAAAAAACTCAGTTTTAATACTTAAACTGTGCATTACAATATTTGTTTTATATTTTTATCTGGCAGATTCGTTGGAATGAATCTGGTGTGTGCGAAACATGTCCGTCATGGCAAATTGACTCTGGTGTTACATGGGGAGAAGAGCATTTTGGCCGTGGATGTTACATGCTTCCAGTGGGTAATTGGAACTCAAAAACTGGTTTAAAATTAACCGAACCACTTTTTCTACATTTGGCTAATGGGTTCAGAGGGATGAAATTACCCATAGCCACTTTTAATGTAAGTAAATAGATTTTCAAATTCATACCTATACCATAAGTTTTGAAATTTTTAAATTAACTTGTTTTTATTTATTGGCTCCATTACTAAGCTATTAATACTACTTTCACATTTAGGTATTTTGTTATCAGTAAACAGTTTGTAAAACTAAAACATAAAACATTAAATACACACACTTTATGTAATTTTATTTTAAATAATAATTATATTACACCTACATGACATTTAATAATTTATATTTTACTGATTATTGCCAGGTAATTCTTGAAAAGTTAGTATGGTGAAACTGAATTGGATAAAAATAAATAAAGTAAAAAGTGCGAGGATGAGGAATTTGATGAGGAATGTACTTGTTCTAGAAAATTGAAATGAATGATTGGAAAGAATGAGATGAAGTGTGATTAATAAAAACAATACAATTTTACAGAATTTATGTAAAATATTGGTTTATAGTTTTATGCAACCAAAATATCTACATAAATAATAAATAATATTATATTATTATATTATTAAATATCATATTTTGAGAGTTTACTCAAAATATGCAATTTGACTTTCCAACAAAACCTTGTAATTCAATGCTAACAAATTACACAAGTCTATGACAAGAAAACTGTTATTAGAAAACTACAAGAAAAATCATAAAATTTGTTTCCCAATGCACTCTTTAGATAAGAGATTCTTCAAGAAAGTTCTTATAAAATTTGCGATTGGATTAATATTTGTTATAATAGTTTACACAACCAAAAAAAATAAATCTTATAGTAAAATCATTATATACCTTGCTTCATTAAGAATATACAAGACAGGATATATTAAATATAACATGTTATAGGGAAATTGATTTTTAAATAGGTACAAAATATAATAGGTATTTAATTTTTTTGAGATTTTTTACCAGTTTTGTTGAAATATTTAAAATTAAAACCACATAATCTATTTGCAATATGGTTATTATTTGTATATTTATCAAATTTGAAAAATTAATAATATTTTGATAATAATTAATAGAAATCAAAAATAGATAGTATTTATATTGAATTATAATAACTATTTTAAAGATGAATATTATACATGGTATTACATTTTAACTTAAATATTGAATTTATAACACTATAAATTGATGAAAATATCACTATTGATGTGATACACTAAATATATGTGACATAATATACATGAAGACATTGAAATTTGAATATCCTGATGCTTACAGAATATTTATTTATAAAATATATTATAAGACAATACAAATATTTTGTTACAGTTTCCACCTTGGCAAATCATAAATTTCAACAAAAGTGGACATTTAATTGGTTATAGTGGTTTAGTATTTGATATTATTGATCAACTGGCTATAACATTAAATTTTACGCAAGTAAATTTCATATTATAATAACTTATTTTGGTTGTACAGGTACTAAATATCTATCAGAACTTATGTTATGTAATTTTTTATTTTTGAATTCAATAGAATGAATTTTTCTTCTATTATCTAATAAATAAAAAGTTACTTTATCAAATTAATTAGAAAATATTATTGTATAATATCTTAATACTTACCTTAAGATTGTTGAGTTTAAAATATATAAAATTCAAATTTTCTACAGGTACAGTGTTATGGTCATATCTAACACAGAACAGACCAATAATAAGACTAAAACTTTATTTCCACAAAATGTAAGTCCTTTAAAATTCGCTAAACAATTTTTTTTATGAATATTAGAAAATAATGTAATTAAATATTATAGAATTTATTTGGTGATTATGATGCCTCAGTCTCTAAACCTATTTGGGATAAAATTATTGATCTCGTTAGATCTGACCGAGTGAGTTTTAATTTTTAAATATCTACAAAATACAATAAGATTTAGATAACAAAAATAAATTAATAAGTAAAATTAGGTACTTATATTACTATATATTTTATAATTTTAAATTAAATTTGTTTTGAAAAATATGTTGATACTTTTTTTTTATAATTACGTATTAGTATAAACTAATTCTGTGTTCACTCTAATATATTTTTTGTTTCTTTTTTCCGAAATTATAGATTTTTATTGCAGCAGCAGCCTTTTCTGTAAAAGAAGCCAACAAAATCTATGTAAATTACACAACACATATAAGTCTAGAACCACAACAAATTTTAGTGGCCAGGCCAAAAGAATTAAGTAGAGCTTTATTGTTCACGGCACCATTTACATTATTGGTAATATTATGTTAAATAGGTATTTACTATTAAAAATTAAAAATAATTATTCACACTTTGTATTGTAACATAAAATTAGTCTATTTTTGACATTTTCAGTTGAGGTAATTTGTATAGTTGTTGTTATATTTATATAGGAAAAAAGACAATTTTAAAATAAACAATCTTAATTATAAATTAATGGGTGCACCAAAACTAAATTTCTTATGGGATTTGAACAAAATATGTACTGTATTATTGTTGTTTAGACATGGCTGTGTATAGCTGTGGCTGTTGGTCTTATGGGACCTCTGTTAAATTTAATTCATGGATTAAGTCCATTCTATGAATATCACAACATATCAAGAAAGGGAGGTCTTAATTCACCATTGAACTGTTTTTGGTATATTTATGGAGCACTATTGCAACAAGGTAATCTATAATATTATATCCAATTATTTTATGTATTATTATAATCAAATTTTTGATTAGAATATATAACTGACTATTTAAACTTTTAACTTTAATTGCTAATTCATATTAATTGTTTTTATGGTAGATATATTTTGGTAAGGTAGAAAACCAAGTTAGGTGAGGTTTTAGAATGTAATTAAAATAATAAATTAATCTGGAATAAGCCTTTTAAATAATGCATTACCTAATTAATTGTGATTTTAAATTAAGAGTATTACATTGAATGTACAATGTAATTTTTCTTTTTATATATATACATTATACAGTGTACAAAATTTCTACCAGAAATCTAGCTCCAATGTATTGAGTGTAGTATTTTTGTTGAAAGATGATTTGATCTAGTTGGTAATTAAGGGAATTTTTTTTTTGATATTCTTAAGGTTTTCATAGCAATCTGGAAGAGCCAAAAAATAAAAAAAAAAATAAACACGATATATGAAACCCAACAAATGTATGTCATCATTCCTTTATTAAACATTTGTATGGTTTATGATTTCTCATAAGAGTATTCCTCCAATAAAAAACTGACAAGAGATTTTTTCTAATGCAGTTTATACCTTTAAGTGAGTAAGAATATCAGTTTTTAAATTTCCTTGTAGTTTTCTTAATAATTGAGTAAAATTGGGAAAAAAGAAAAGTGTACAGAATTAATAGTTTCATTATACTCAATTTTTTCATTTTGTTATAATTCTGTTAAGAATATTTGTATTGACTTAAAATGTATACAGAAGACTTGTATTAGATTTTTCTAGATGTGGTAACATTTTTGAAACATGTCAGCAATTTTTATGCTATTTATAACTTTTATAAGTACACATTTTGAATTTTCTAGTTTTTAGATTTGCAGCAGAGTGCAGAGTAAGTAAAATATTGGTTTTACAATGATGTTTATTTTTTTATTTTTGTTTTTTATCTGTGAACAACTATTCTACCAGCAATTTTGCTCCGATTTACAATGATAGCACTTTTTCCCGGAAAGAAATCTGACTGGGGTGGTACTTTGAGGAGGTTATTTTTTAATTTTCCAAGGAGTTTTCTTAATATATTAGAAAAAACTGGAAAAAAATAAGGAAACTTGGAGAAAGGGGGAAAATAGATACAATAACAAATAACATATATAATATATAATATAAATTTAACAAATATTATTAAAGAAAATGTTCAATGTATATATAATTATTCTACCTTAATATGATATATATATATATATATATATATATTGTTGACAAAGTAACATTATCAATTGAACTCCATTCAGAATCGTTTTTTGTTAGAAATGGTTAGACATACAGGTATACATTAAGTTAACTATAACAGTTGCTGTACCCATCCCCATTATTCTAAGGCGTCTTTTTGTTTTTTTGAAGAGAGTTCAGTTTTATCAATTCACACTTATTAGCAATGGGTAAGCATAGTATACAGATGTACATTAAATTTCCCCTCTACTGTCTCAACTTCTCACCTACAATAGTGGCTCACCCACGTGCAAAGTATGTACATATTTACAACTTACATTTTCTCAAGTAGATACTCTGCAAATAAAATTGTTAGACTAAACAGAAGTGCTTGAAAATTCAGCAGGAGGTTCACTATAAATAGTACTCTGTGATAAAATGTGTGTAGTGTTTAATATATAATTAATAATTAGGTGTATATTTTTAGAAAACTTATTTATATTTTTCAACTCATTACAAAAATAATAATAATATTACAACAGTGTCTATTTTGTTATCATTTTTTAGTTAATAGGTACAGCAAAGTAATTTACTTATATTTATTGATATCCAGGTGGAACTCATTTACCAGAAGCGGACAGTGGCAGACTGGTAATTGGCACCTGGTGGTTGTTCGTTTTGGTAATAGTTACCACATATAGTGGAAATTTGGTGGCTTATTTGACATTTCCTCAAATGGATTCCATGGTGTCTAACATGGCTGATCTCATGGCCCGTAGGTCTCAAGGATATTCGTGGGGAATTCCGGAAACTTCAAATTTACATTCATTGTTAACTGTAAGAAAGTTTTTAGATGTTCAAAATTACTTGGTACTATGTTAATATTATAAAATTGATTTCCTTTTTACATACAATTTCAATTAGTCATTACCGGATGATACAATGATTAAGGAATTAATTAAAAGTGCTGAACACCACAAGGAGTTGTCACAGACTGTTGTAGAAAGAGTGAGATCTGGCAAACATGCATTTGTTCACCGTCGGACCAACTTGATATATGTCATGAAGAATGATTATATACAAACTAACAGATGCGATTTTGCAATAGGTACATAAAAAATATAATATTCTACTTTTAATTTTTGTTTCAGGTTGTCTTATGGGACTTTGCCTTACACGGATGCAGCATAGGAATTAAGAGGTGTTATATTTTTAACATACCAATTGGTCTTGTGAAGTAATAAAAATTCTGATTGGTATTTGTCACCAAGTCTATTTGAAATCTACCTTTCCACATATTTGATTTATTTCCTTTAAATACTATAAAGCAATAATAATAAAAAAAGTAATTAAAAATGAAAAATGTTAATTTTTGGAGAAATTAAAATACAAACATGAAATAAACGGGAAAGTTGATCTTAAATTAATTTGATGAAAAATTTAACTGTTGCCAGAATTTTCATCACTTAACTAGACCAATTGGTACATTAGAAATATAGCACATCTAAATTCCTGTTTTAAGTGTAAAAGACAGAGGTAGAAAACCACCACTTCCAAGTTCCTAATGTATAGGTATTAATACTGACCACTGTGCATCTTGTTCAAATTTTTTTGTTATTATTATTTGTACAGTTTTGATTGGTTTTATATTGTGTAAAATGTTCCACAGGAAATGAAGATTTTGCAGAAGAAAAATTAGCAATGATTTTGCCAAAAGGAAGCCCATATTTAAGTAAAATAAATAAAGAGTTAAGTAAAATAGAGATTTAAAGATTTAAAATACATTTAAATATTTCAAATTATAACTGCAAATGTCATTTTACTTTAAACAAATTTAGTTAAATGTAGTATTTTTTTTTCTTTTTTATGAGTTTTAAGAGTTATCTCAAAATTCAGAGCAAAATCTTTAAAAACGATGGAACATAGTTAAAAAAAACTAATCAGTTAAAGCATTTAAAAAATAAAAAAAACCAACAGAAAACTGCATGGTTTAATGATTGATGCAGGGAAGCAATAAAAAGAAGAAGCAAGATTAAAAATGATAAAACACCCATCTCCTGATATCATAGAAGAATTTACTAAAAACAAAAAATAGCAAGCAAAATATTGAGACAGGCTCAAACAGGACCTAAACTAAATTATGAATGAAGAGGTCCAAAATCCAAAATTTTTAAACTTGTTTGAAAACATTTTAAATATGGACCATGGGTTATGGAGGAAAGTGAAAGTATGTGTGTGTGTGTGTTACACAGCTTGGCCTCTCTTTGAGGAACTCCCTAAGAGGATAATATTAATTTTGAGCAAATAAAGATAGGTACTCATCAACTTGTGACCAAAATACACAGACTACTAAGAGAAATATGGAACACCGAATAAATACCTGAAGATTGGACAAAAACCATCATTTGTCTCATATTTAAGAAAGGCAACCCTATGGATACAAGAAACTACAGAGGAATTGTGCTTTTAGACTCATGTTACAAAATCGTATCCCTGGTACTCTTATAAGGATTGGAAATATACTTTAGAGCAGGGGTCCAGAACCTTTATTGTGTAAATGAGCCATTTGAAAAAAAAATTGCAAAACCATGAATTTTTAAGAGCCACACTAACATAAAAAAATATACCATAATACAAAAAATGACTCGTATATTTTACAAAGCGATTTCATTGAAAATTGGTAGGCATTAAAGACATAATAATACATCTTAAATTTAGAAAAATTAGAATTTTTTTCTTTTACCAGAAATAAACTTTGTTAAACCCATAATATTATAATTTTATAAAAGTCAAATATATACAATAAATTATACCATAATCTAAAAAAAAAAAAAAAAAAAAAATTATAATCCATTTTTAGTTTATATTCTACAAGTCTTGATATTGATGCATTTTTAAAGAGCAGGTTACCGACCCCTACTCTAGAGATATAATCAGAGACTACCAAAGTAGTTTCTTGAGAGGAAAGTCAACCTCTGACCATATTTTCACAAACAGAAAAGTAATGGAAAAGTTTTATGAATATGAAAAGGATGTTCATATATGCTTTGTTGACTTAAAGCAGGCATATGACAGTATAGTTCAGAATAAACTGTGGATGGCTCTAGAAGAATTTGGAATCCCTAAAAAAACTTTTTCATTTGATAAAAGAGTGTAACACATATACCTTGTGCAAAGTGAAATATGAAAGCAGTATATCGCTGAATTTTGGAATTAAAACTGGTCTTAAACAGAATGATCAGCACTGTCTCCTGTCATTTTTAGCCTAGCATTTGAAAAAGTAGTAATGTCAATGCCAAATAACTTAATAAGAGCAGTGAAACCAATAGGTCTGGAAGTGAATTAAGACAAAATAAAATATTTAGCCATGACTAAGGGAACAAGAGGCAACTCAAACCTGGTAGAATTATACTTTTATACCAACAAGTTGAAAATTTCAAATATCTTTGGCAAACATAAATCAACAGAATAATATGTATAATAAAGTTAAATTAAAGATATGTGCCATTAACAAAGGTTATTATGCTTTGGAAAAATTATTTAATTCAAAACTTCTCACTAGATAATCAAAGGATACACGCTTTCCTCAAAATATCTGCAATCAATTTTAGCATATGCTTGTGAAATATGGTCTATTACTAAGGTGATGAAGAAAAAATGGCTTATTTTGAAAAAAAAATAAAGAATTTTTGGGCCTATTTTAGATAATGAAGTGTACAGAAGAAGAGCTAATAGAGAAGTACAGCTCATTTATTATCATACAGCACCCAAAGCCTGAAATAAATGCTTAATATTGAAGAAAGAATAAATGGGAAAAGACTTAATGACCACCCTAGATATGGGTAGAGAGGGTCAAGTGTTCACTAAGAGTAACAATAGAGATAGATGGAGAAATTTAGTTGAAGCAGCAAAGTCCTTTAAGGACTGTAAAAGCTGAAGAAAATGAAGATAAGTTTTAAAATCAAATTTTGATGAAAATCTTAAATATTACAGTCTTTCAAAATATGTATGTATAAATGAATTTCGCTTCAAATTTTTTTTTCATTAGGAATTGTTTATTCCTGCTTAGAGATATAAATTAAATAATTTTATGTATCCTACTCATCTAACTTTCCACCTACAACAGTGCCACACCCAGTCCTCCCCAGGTTTTTTCTTTAAATTATAACTAATAAATTGTTGATCAATAATAAGTTTCAGTTGTAATACAAAAGAATTATATAGTTTTTTGAAAATTTATATTCAGATAATATATTTTTAAAAGCAGTCTACACTACAAAATAATTGCAAATTTTAAAAACTTTTTTTTAATTATTCAGGAAAGAGTAAACACATATCAAAATGTATTCTTAAGTATGCATTACAAATACAATAGTTATATGTGTATAATCTTAAATAATTAATATATTGGATATAAAATATAGTTGGTGTTGTAGTGAACCAGATCTGATGGTATAGTATATCAATATATTATGACTAAAGGCACCTACTGTTTCTACCAGTAGTCAACACTTTTTACTGATGTTTGAAAAAATAACAACACTTAATAAAGATAGAAGTATTGATTTATTTTAGAGACATGCTCACTTCTGGATTGAGCATAAATAAGGAACTATTCAAAGGTTTATTTGGTTTCTCCAAAAGAATAAAAATAAGCCTAAGTCTGATTAGTGCAGGCACCTAGGTCCCTATTTATGTATAAGTGGTAAACCCGAGTGTAAAAATGTGTTTTACAATCCAAAAGTGGTTCTTCCTATGCATTTGTATATTTATTACCTTTTGTAAAAGGGCTATATATAGTTATTATTCTCGGAACCAGCGATGGATTTTCAAAAACAAGATACATAAATTCAACATACAAATACATCAACACTTATTGCACATAATAATAAGAGGAGATCAATATAAATAATGAAAAGTAGTAATCCCGGTTACTACAGTATTTTTTTATTCCTAAAACTAGCATTTAAATTTATAATTTTTATTTTTTACGGTAACAATAAAATAACAATATTTTATTAAACTTAAATATTGTGAGGGTACTTGATAAGTATAATAACAATGTACATTGTTTATAGGATTGAAAAAATGCATAAAGTTGGTCTTATAAACAAATGGTTGATGAACACTTTGCCGAAAAAAGATCAATGTTGGATCAATACACCACTACAAATTACAAACCACAAAGTTAATTTAGATGATATGCAAGGATCATTTATTGTTCTATTTCTAGGTGAATTACACATATTATAATATATAAAAAATATATATATATATATATGTATATATTATTTTAGGTATATTATCATCATTGGTGTCATTTGCTGTTGAATATTTATTACATAAGAACAAAAACCGACATCAAATCTTAATAATGCCATTTATAAATTAAAATTAGATAATGCACAGAGTTAAATGTTGCTTCATTATTATTTTTAAATCAATAAATAACAATAATAATAAATTCTTATTAATAGCTATTCACAATATATTTACATAAAGTTACATTAGTTAAAATGGTTACTTTTGCCACCAGTCTTCTCATTAATATAAGTAAAAATATTTTTGATATTATAACTTTTTTTTCGATTGGTGAAATAATGTGATACTACATTATCATCTGAAAAAAAAAAATATAATTTATTATATTTATTATTAATTAACAATTAAAGGTAAAATACAATAGAATAAATTATCTGAGATTAAGTATACTTAATAAATAGACTGATTTAAAAATTTTTATTTTAAAAAATATTTAAATAACCCATAACATTAAACATAACTTGAAAAAAAAACCTTAAACTGTGTCTTATTTACTATAGTAGTTGGGGTTATCAACTATTTTTTCTCAGGATCTTCCATAAAAAGTCACTTCAATATAATACCCACTTTTTATTAAGAACAAAAAAATTTAATAAGTTAAACACCTGAATAAGATATTTTGTAAAAAAGTATAGACAATTTGCTTTCATATTAAATTGGAAAATAATATTGTTACACAACATTTATCGAAAATTATAATATTACGTAAATGTTAAAATGTTTGTAAGAAATGGACTATTTGTTGACTAAAGTTTGAAAAGCATAGACGTGTAATTTAATCTTAAAGCAATAATATAAAAACGAATTATGAATCCTATAAAATAGGTATTTACAAATTAATCAACTTACCAATATTGGTGACAGGTAATGTATTGTCATTAGCAGATAACGACAATATGAACATAAAAGGAATGGTCCATAAACACACAGTAAAATAAGAAACAATCTAAACATAATAGCATAATAATTATTACAATTATACAGTTAGATTTAAATCAATAAACACAATTTCAGACCTCTAATAGTGTTAAATATCGTTGTCGGAAAAATCTAAACACCAGCACATGGTTGCCTATCAACAGTATAATTGACAAAATAAATTTAATTGAACTCAAGTTAAAGTACGGAAAGTCTGTAAGCAATGAGTAATATACTATATGGCTTAAAAGACCAGCAGCTATCAAAATTATTGGCACATTGTCAAACAAATATAATCCGATATGGCATAATATCACAACCTGTAACATTACAATTATTTTACTTAGAATATAATATATAAAAGTAAAAGTTTATTGTAATAGTTCAATTCCACAATTAAAATGAAAAAGTATTTTTCATGTCATAATTTCTAAAGAAGTACTTACTTCAATACTTTTAAACAAAATAAATTATATTCATGTTTATATATTACTGTAATTCTAGGTTGAAAATTCATAAGATAAAAACATGAGTAAATTATGTATTTAATCTTACATGAATAGTCCATTTTATAATCTTCTTGGTAAGTACGGTGTGTTCTTCCACAAATTCGGCCAAGTAATAAACGCCAGCGCCTAAATTAAAAAAAAAACACTGAGTAAACAATTGTTTAAAAATCAAAAGTATAAAAAAAACCAATGTGTAGGTATTATATGTAAATTAACAATAAAAATTAACTTATTTGTCTGTTCCTTAATTAATCTGATAACACAAGAGATAGACCCAGATTAGATGGATTAGAACAACCATCCATCTGATGAAAAAACAAACTCAGTTTGTAAATGGACTATCTATCAATCCGATTACTAATTTTAATTTAAGGAACACAGATTTCTATCTGATCAACCATCAGATTAATTAAGGAACAGGCAGTATAGTATAAAACATTTAATGATTAGCAGATGTACGGATTGATTGAATTTCTTAAAACAAATAAAGAAAATACTTATTATTAACTCACCGATAAAAATCGAAATAAGAGCTATCTGTAAAACGGCAGCAATAGCGATCAATACTAACATAAAAACCATTTCTAAAGGTACCTACATAGAATATTATATGTGAAGCATAGAAACGTAATATACGTATAATAAGTAGTGTTTTAAAATAACATCAAAATATCAATTATTTCAAATCCAAATGATATACAAAAAATAACAATAAATCACGTTATAAAAATGTAATCAAATCATTATGAATTAATAAAAAAAAAACGTCGTGTGGTCAACACTAATCATCGTATTGTTATCAAACGTGAACTCGATAGACTCTGAACAGTGTAGATAGCAGTCGAGATCTTTGGTATATACTACACAATCGGTTACATGGGATTTATCGTTTGATAATATGTTTATGATATTATGTTTGATTTAGTTTTTAAGGTTTCTAATGATTTCTTTGGTTGTTATATTATTAGTTCAGTCATTTTTATATTTTTATTTTGATAAATAAATTCGACGTTTCATAGTCTTCTGAGTCAGCCATGATCGGTTTTGAGTTGAATGATTAGACTTGTTGTAGTCACTTGTAGGTATGTTTCGATGGCGATTATAGATAAAGTAAGGCAATTTCCAAAATTATGTAAGTTGTGTTGCTTGTTCAACTCCTGAAAAATAATTGTATTGCTTACTCATAGCCTTTAATCTTTATCAATTTTTCCGTGAGAAATAATTTTGTAGTTCAAGGACTGACTTTTCTGTAAAAAGTATTAATTATAATTAAAGTACATTAGATATGTATAAATTGTATTTTAATAATATAATATTTTGATTTTTGCACGTATTAATGCATGGCCAACTCAGTATTGAAGATTTTGAAGTTTTTTATAGCCTATAGCACAACCAAAATTAAAAAAACTACCCTCAATTCAATTTCAGCTAATCATGTTTTAGAAAATAACCATAATATTAGTTTTGATATTAATACAAACTTATAAATATTAAATACCTAAAATAAAATTTACATTAATTAGTTTTAGAAAAATTACACATACCCAATGAAATAAAGAAAAATAATTTTAATGATATTTTAAATGTTCAAACCAATTTTAAAAATAATATTTTATATCAATACATTTTAGATAATAAATAATAACCAAATAATTTATATTTCTTAACATATTTATGTCTAATTATAACCAATTTTAAATATTCTCTCCTAAAATCAATTATTTCTATATTCTATGTAAAATAAGCAATTTGTAAAATTTTTTTTTCTATGTATTCCTTCATTTAATTTTTTATATTGAGTCCCAATTTACATTTTCTGTGATATACCTGATGATAATTTTTTAATGTGAAACTGGTTGTATAATAAACTTCTCATAATACTCCAGGCAAAGTATTAATTAATGAATTGATTTATTTCTACATATAAATTATTTATTTATATATTTATGTACTATATTTATTTACTTAATTGATTAATATTCTCCAAAATTGTATTATAAATATATGTTTGATCAAATGTAAGTTGATTTTCAATTATTGACACATTTTCATTTTTAAGTTCTTTTTCATAATATATAGAACTATTTAAATTTGCTATGTCAGTTTTTGGACTTCAGTGAGGTCTTGGTATTTGATAATGTTTAAGATCTTTTCCAAGCAGAGGTATTAACTTATCTTCTATTAGAATTAAAGTTTTATTGTAAATTAAATCATTAAACTTAGAATCTGGATCTACCAATTTTTCTTTATATAAAACATCATCAGCTAAAATATTTGTATGATTCAATCATAATTTTAATGGGTTACTTAGCTGACAATGTATTTACATAATCTTATTTTACATGACATGGTTCTTGTAATGTATTATCATAATGCCCATCATCTGCTTTGTAAACAGATTAAAAATTATAATAAATTATACCATTGATAGTATGTAAACTTAAAAAGCTGGCTTACGATATAAATGGGGATAGGTGCAGCCACTGTTATAAGTAGGGTTTTAAAATGTCATAAAATATATTACTATGTTTATTAATTTAAGTATTTAATATTGTAAATTGTTTCATAATTATTCAAAATTATATTATATTTATACAATTATAATTTATAAATTATAGTAGTGCAGTGTTAAAACTTTGTGACTATAGTTGTATAAATAGGTACCTAATAGCAATATAGTATATAGCAATATAAGTTATATTACTGTATTGTTTTACTTTATTGTATATTTCAATATTTGTATAAGAATTTAGTTTTTCTGATATGATTATAAATTATAATATTACCAATGAATTAATAATATTTAGTATATTTAATTTTTTCTTAAAATAATGCAGGAATATTTTTCAATACTATTTGTAGAAATAGAATATTCAAATATAAAATAATTTATCAAAATAATACAATGTTACTAAATTTTTATTTTCTTTTTTTCTTTTTTGGTAAGGTGCCCACCAACAACATTAACACTGTCGTTACACCCATTTAATAATGTTTTGGTCCATTATTAAAAACAAATCTTGACATTATAATTTATTTTTTTTTGTTCGTCGCGTCTTACAATAATATTAATTTAATTTGAAAATAAATAAAATATGTAAGTACCACGACTTTAGATACATCCGTGGAACTTATTATTAAAATAATTCAGGTAATTTATCTATTATATTTGCTTAATTTATCATAGAATTAAATTGAAAAAACCTTAATTTTAATTGGAACCAAAAATGAAAATGAAAATTTGGATAAATTTTCATAATTTCCAATGGAATATTTTTATTCTTTTAAACTTTATACAAATCTCTTCTACCATGCTTAATTTAATTGTGTGTAAATCCTTTATAAAAAAATGTTTAAATAGTATTATTCATTTATGATTTAATAAGGTCTAAATAACTGTGAAATATAGGTTTATGTGTAATATATACAAATATATAGTATATAATAAACACGGCAATTAAAAAAAAAATTTTGAATATTTTATTTTAGAAATAACGATTATTTGAAGTATCCGTTTTTTTAAAGATTTTATCACATAACTTCTAAATAAAGTTAGAGCGACATTTTTTGTAATTTTTTTCTAAATTATCGACTAAAAACACATAATATGAAAAATAAAAATTGAAAAATTTACATAGGTATTAAATTAACTACACTTGTTCTAAAAATAATTTGGTAAAATTGTTGATGTTATTTCTTCGTAGATGTTTAGGTTTTTAATACCATTGAATTAATTTCAAATAATATGGCAGATATTAGCAAATATTTTTAGTTTTAATATACTTTTTATAAGTACGACTATTAAATTATACAACAATTTTAAGTTGATCATGCTTGAACCAGAACATAATATATATATATTTAACTATACATTTTATATGATATTTACATATATTTTAATTTTTAATCTATATGAAATCGTTAAAATTTGTAAAATGTTATAGTTACCTCCAGGGATAGAATCCATATTTTATAACTAACAAAAAACCTTTATTTTTAATGTCATAAACTGATGACAAAATAATATAACAACGATAATGTTTGAAACAAAATCACACTATGGCATAAAAACTGTAAGGATCGCGTGTGGTTAACAAAAAAATACTAACCCATTAATCGTTTTACTTAATGTTTATCTAACTGAACTGTGTACTCTGATATATAATCTTTAAATTGTCTTAATATTAATCGTATAGAGTTATTTTCATTTTATTGGGTTTTGGCCTTGATTTTTCCAAAGTCATTCGCGCCATTGTGTCCCACTGGTATAAGTATACCCATTTAATGCACAAGAAACTTCCACAGTTCACTAGTTAATTCGTACAACTCGAAATACGAACTGGATACATATCATTAGTGGGTACCTATATCAAATTGTATAACTCATATTGTGTGTCATATGCATTTTATATAGGTGCATTAAAGTGCATTTATTCTCTTCGTGTCTTCTGTTATACTTGAACACAATGCTTCTTTATTAAATATCAGATAAACTAAAATCTTGTTTTTGTAAATACCTTATGCAAAAAAACCAAAAACTTTAAGACAATTATAAGTAAAATAAAATATGGAAAAATCTAAAGTTCAAACAATATTATTTTATTTACACTTTTTCTCAGATTTTGATTCTTTGTTCAATCACTTTTTCTCTGGTTCTTTACTTCAAATTTCATTTATGTTAAAAAATGTTTGCTGTTGTATTTAAATTATTAGTCAAACCACCCATCGCTATAATATTTTACATAGTATTATCATATTCATACAATATATTACAAAGAAGAGATAACGTAACAGTTGAGGTCTGTTTGTCTAATTCAAAATGGTAGCCAAACATCAATCACTATGCTATTTTACAAGACATTATGATATTCATAAGTAAGCATTAGTTAAACTAATATCTGCTACAGGTTGTATTATTAGTGTGAACTGTACGAGTATACAATTTCCTACTTAAGGTACTAAGGTACAAAAATTTCAATGTAAAAATATATTTAATATATTCTATGTAATATTTACCTATTACAATATTTACCATCCATTTAATATTGTTCTGGTCCATTATTAGTCAAGATAACATGGAAAAATACTTAAAACTTCATGAACTTCATGCATTAAATTACTTAACAGTATTGTGTGCCATATTATATGAAACGTATGCAGTTATAAAACAAAACTAAAATAATTACACCTTATTATATTCATTTAGGTATTTATTTATTAATTTGTTAATATGTTTATCCTAGTAAACTTCTCCGATGTATAAGTGTAGCACCTTTTCTGAAAATCAATTTTATCTACTTGGTAAATACATAGGTCGGTTTTTGATTTTCGAAACGGTATTTAAAATAATAACGATTATCCGAAAAAAATACGATTTTTTCACAATTTCATTATTTTAAATAAGTACCTACCACATTTTCCAGCATGAATATGGCTCCAGTTGAAAAACGACAAAGACATTTTTTAATTGATAAGTCGTTTTTAATACTATTTAAATTTAACACGATACATTGTACGGCACATCGGTAACATAATTATTAGAGTACCTATATGAAAACCATTAATATTATATCACCGTTTTTAATACTATGTATCGATACATAGTACGGCACATTGATCACGCAATCATCACAATAGAATTATCATATTATGTACCAATCTCGATTCGAAAAATATTATTTTATAAGTATTACTTATGCTCACCATACATAGAAAAGATACAAGTATTTTTAATAACAATGAAATGTATAGCTATGAAACATAATCAGTGGTGTCACCGTTATCGTGCGCACATGCAGGTATAAAGGTTTTCGTTTTACTATTTTGCGGTCGCCCGCGCTACTCCGCATACCATTTGACAACTATCGGTTGCAGATGTCGACAAAAGATTTTACGAAATATAATCGTCGGCGACGACGAACCTATCGGTCAGAGAGCTGTAACTTCTCCTCCGCCCATCTACCTTTTGCTACGGTAAATTATTATCTATTATTAAATATTATTTTATATAGATGGTACTCAAAGAAGAAAGATTTTTTATATTCGCATACCTATACGAAATATAATTGACGACGACGACAACGGACATATCGGTCCGAGAGCTATAACCTCTTTCCCGCCCATCTGCCCTCCGTTTCGAACAAATATTATCTATACAACAAAATAATAAATATCACATAATCGTCGAGCGATTTCCTGTACATAGATTTTTGTCAACGTCAATATAATTATTATATCCGTTGGTATCATCGACCTACTGGTTCAAAGGCCGACAATAACACGATCCTCATTTTCCTACACACACACACACACACTTTGTTAATATAGTGCTTTAGAAATTTGTAAACACATATATGATATTAAATAAAAACAAATTTTTAAATATTGTCGGAATATTATATTTTAAAATAAACATACATCTAAGGTCGCATAATATATATTCTTATATTTAGAAAAATATTAAAACTTTATAAGCAATTAACCATTTTCGTAAGGTAAAAACTTTTTAAAATGTACATTGTTTAGGATTCAAATCCATATGAAAAATACAGCAAGGTAAATTGTCGTCTGTACACAATTAGTCTAATCGTGGACACTCCATGATCTCTATATTGATAATTTCGAATTGCGGAATAAAATCTATGATCATTTTTTGTTTCTGTTTTCACGTCTTTTTCACATAATGGATCTGTTTAATAAAAATATTGAACATTTTTTTCAAAATAAATATTTTGAAAAAAAGGGGTGGTGGAAAAATATGTCTTCTAAGTCGATAATAATGTAGGAAATAATTATTTTGAAAAAAATGTATGTCGATGAAGAGGTGGACAATTCGGACGGCCATGTATTAGGTATAACACCTGGGCGCCTGGGCATCTTGCACTTGTACCTGTGCCTGGCGTAGAAGCCCTCATTTCTTACTACTCCTAGACAACATTCCCTTTCAGAAATGGTGCCACGCGTAAATATCTGAGCAAGATTTCTGGTAGAATTTTTGTACACAGGATAAAAAAAAGGAAAGGTAAGATAATGGGGACGGGTGCAGCCACTGATGTATGTGGGAAGTTGGGAAGGTAGGATATAGATGGAAATTTAATGTATATCTGTAAGCAATGGTTTATATTGCTTACGAAAAAACGATTCTGAGCGGAGTTCAGTTAATAGTTTTCATTATTAAGTGTGAGGGAACTGTATTGTATGTGTTATCATTTTCTTATATAACTTTAAAATGTACAATAAATAATGCTATGATAGTGGAGGCACTAGTCTGTCACTGATGTGGAGCGGTCCTGAAATATTTTCATCAATTTTGGTACTTTTTTGATACTGAAATTGCTACTCGGGTATGACTAAAATATTGAAGTTTTTTTTTTTATTATTTTTGTTCGTACAAGTACATTCAAAATGATACACCTATAAAGATAAATTATGATATTTTAATTTAATAAAATTAATATACATAAATACATAATATAATAGTATAAAATAGTTATTTATGATATTATGTGCCAATAGTACTATTAGTGTCATTAGTGCTATTACTTAAATAATTTAATATTATTATTAGAAGATAAGTACTCATAATTACTTTTGGTGATAAGTAATAATAATACTTTTGTGAATAATAAAATTATAATATTAAACTATATTTTATTAGTTTAGAATTTTTTTTAAACGTTTTTTATTTTAGTTTTTCAATTTTTACTTGGTTATTATATGTATTTCATAAGTTCATACTCATGATCCGTATAGCCAACTTTAGACCCAATGCCTTGAAAAATTACTCCATCTATAATTATACATTAACAATTTTAAAAAAAAAATACATATTTATGATAAGTATAAGTAAAAACTTCATTATTAAAAGTCATTAAGCACTAACCATATTTTAAAATATTTTTATTTATTTGATTGTTTAGAACATTGATAATGGCTATTTTCAAGCTATCGACAAGTTTCATTAGTGTATCTGTCGGTGCGGAGCAATTTCAAATCTGAGATTTACAAATTGGGTCATAGGTGGCTGTAAATATCATGAACTTACGAAATATATTATATGATTTTATTTAAAAACTAGAATGATTTTTGCCAGTAGAAAATATAATTACCACGTGTCAGACAAAAAAAAGAAATGAAAAAGTTTAAAATAAATTCTTGACTATAGTAAAATATATTTTAATAATATAATTATATTATTAATAAAAGTATTATTATTTAATATTACTAAAATTAATTACGAGTTACTTCCTAATGATAATCATATCACATTGTTCAAACAATAGTGACCTATTGACATATACTAGGTATCTACCTATATTATATTATTTATGAATAATATTTTAATTAACTATTTTGTTTTATTATACCTATTATATATTTATATTTATTAATAAATATGTTATAATTTTTCTTGAAAGGTGTATCATTTGAAATGCACCTCTACAAAAAAAAAAAAAAAAAAAAAAGAATACTTCCATAATTTTACTCATATTACCATTGAAATATGTACGAATAATAATATTTTTGGTCCTCTACCGATAGGCAGCGAACTTGGCGGAAATTTTAACTGCAGTAATGTTTTCAATTAATTTATCTTTGGTGGCGGGTGAAAGTGATTACACTTCCAAGGTTCGAGCTTCATTTATCACACGTTCGTTCGATATCTTTTTGTATATCTTATCAGTATTTAATCCATGTATCCTTATATCTTAACTAAATTATTCGTGGCGCCACACTACTACTAGTACCATTCATTATTATCAGTTATCACATCATTAATTTTTGTACACATTGTTTATGGGTAAACTATGATATTGATCAAGTTCATTTGTGGTATTCATATTCATTTTTTTTTTTAGTGCAGTTTTTTTAATTGTCTTAAATGTTAATAATTTAAGTCCAAAAATATCAAATTTTAAAAAATCACACTAACAAACTAATGCGATATAAATGATTCTCTGAGAATTTATCTTGTAAAAAATAATATCCTCCAAATTTAGAAGTAAAAACTCCAATTTGGCAACATTGGCGAGACGGGTGGATCCACCAATCAGAAGCTGAGAACTATGACTGTGAGTAAGTTAAGAGATGTGTGATATATATCACAAAGTTGCTACCACACGTCCACACATATTTAGTATTTACTTTGTCATGTAGTATTTTATTTCTATACCTATGCTTTAAATTTATTTAATTTAAACATTTTAAGGTTAATTCAACATAAAAAAATATCATTCAACTGAATTCAATTGAATTTATTAATTTAGAAGACGATAATTATTTTTAATTGAAGTTTACTATTTTTCTATTATTCTTATATTTATTTGTATTGAATATAATTCATTATATTATAAAAATGGATAATTCTAAAATGAAACATGAGGTAACTTGTTTTATACTAAAATTCTCAATAAATATTTTAAAGGAATTGTTTTAGAAAACAATCATTAACTCTATTTTAGTTGTTCAATTCTCAAATATATTATGTGTTCTCCTGTAAAAAAAATGTATTTAATATAATATTTATTAAAATAAAAAGAATTATATATTTTTTTGTCTTTTCTTAAATAATTTATTAAAATTCATAAAACTTTATTTTTATTAAAATATTATAATTTTACAAAGGTACCTGGTGGTATAACCTCACTTATGCCAAGCATTTCTGATGACTTATTAAGTTATATAAATTGCATAGAAACTTTACCATGTTATAAAGGTGAATCAACCTTGCCACCTAGAGATATTAATTTGATGTCATTGTATGCATATAATGATTTAAACTTCCTACCAACTTGTATGGTTGTAAGTGATTTGTTATTTATTAAATTTTCTGAAATATTTTTATCAAACAATGATTTTATTATAGCCTGTAAGAGATCCTAAGACTGGTGAAATCTTAAGTTATGAAGAAGTCATTAACAATGAAATTAATCAAAATGATGATGATTTAATACCCAGTTTAAAATCAATAAACAATAAAAATATTAGAGCCCAACTTGAAAATGATGCATCTTTCTTTGAATTTGATCCTAGTATGTAAACTTTAAAAAATTAAACATTTATCAAATTATAAATATATTTTTAAATGTTGTTTTTACTTTAGATGAATTACCAATAGCCCCTGGAATGTCAAAGAGTTTGAAAATAATCCAAAATGATCAAAATACAACATTAAATATTTTCACTCCTAAAACAACATTAGAACATGAATGGGCTGAAGACATAGTAGGGGGATTTTGGGATGATGAAATACCAGAAACAGAAAACCAACCAAATATTGTACCAGAACCAATTTCTGTAGATGAAATTAATCATATTAAGGTAATTATAAGTTATTGATTAAGAATTTTACTTTTAATATAGGTAATATTTAATTAATCTTAATTTTTTTCTCATAGAAATTTAAAAACTTCCAATTAAACATTTCTGAAAATTCAGAAAGAGCTCTTGTAAAATCTGAATGGGTTGAGGAATTAGATATTTCAAATCCAATACATAACTTTGATGAGCTATTACCTGATCCTGCATATAAATGGGAATTTGAATTGGATTCATTTCAAAAACAAGTATATACATTTTAAATTTTATTTTACATATTTTGAATATTTTCTTAATATCGACTGGTAAAAGCAAAAGGGGCTAAGCACCAGTTTATTTACTTTTCAGGAAAGCAGAAACAAAATTTTCATTTGTTCTTAATTTTGGCGTTGATGGTATTTATTTATTTAATGAAGTTATTATATATTTTAATTACATTGTATAATACTGAAAATGTTTGTTAATTTTTAAACAATTCATCTTTGTTAAAACTTACTATTTTATGTCTCTTAGCTCCAATTTTTTTTTTCAGAAGGGCACTTATACCCTAATTTAAATTTGCTATAACTATTGCTATAATAATAATACTTTTATTTTTAATAAATACTTAATTCAAAAATCTGTGATTGATGTATTTTTTTCTTATAATGTTTTGTAATTGTAATTGTAATGTTATTTTTATTTTTGAATGACATTAGGTAATTTGTTTACACAAATAATAACAATATTATGACTGATACAATAATATAATATTTATACTACTACAGTATGAGTGATATCAATTAATTATAAACCTTAAATAGATTTGACCTTCCGTTCATAAAATTCTTTAAGTGTCAGTTTCCATAGTATACACTATGTAACATAACCTATTTTGCCTTTTATCAGTTGATGTATACATTCATACCTTTGTATAGAAACCTAAACAAATATTTTATTTTTAAAGGCAATACTTAAATTAGAAGAAAAATCTAGTGTATTTGTAGCAGCTCATACTTCAGCAGGTAAAACTGTAATAGCAGAATATGCTATAGCACTTGCTAAAAAACACCAGTTGAGGTAAATATTCGATTTTCAAATGATCCCCGTCTTTTCTCACAAACTGGTTTTATAAACCAAATATTTTTTGTTACCATTTTGTACTTACCATTATATATTTATACAAAATAAAATATACAATCATATAATATATTTAAAATTACTAATTTAGGTGTATATACACATCTCCAATAAAAGCTTTATCCAATCAAAAATTTCAAGATTTTAAGAAGAAATTTACAGATGTTGGTCTTATAACTGGAGATTTTCAAGTGAAACCAGAAGCCCAGTGTCTAATTGTCACAACAGAAATATTGTGTTCAATGCTATACACTAATTCAGAAAAAATTAAAGAAACAGAATTTGTTGTTCTTGATGAAGTTCATTTTGTTAACGACAGAGAAGTTAGTTAGCCAATAAAATGTATTAATTTATATATAACTCTAGTATTTAAATGATATACAATTACTTTCTTAGTACATATATTTATAAACAAATACAATATAGCAATATTAGTTTAATCAAAAAATAGAATAAAAACAAAATTATCTCAAGATTCACCTTTCTTATTCTCTTGTCATATAAATGTTTCTAGTTCTCTTTTACTTTATGAGTATGATATTATTAATAATATTGGTTTTAAATAAACTAAAATCTTAAATGCTGGTCAGCATATTGTTACCTCATAATGTAAATTATTTAAAATTTTAGGCTTGATGATGAGACTGTCCAAAAATTTCCGACTTCAAACACTGGTACACTGGTACAGTTAATCAGTTACAATCTTAGAATATGAATCCCTGATCTAGGACCACATAACTTTGGGGGACTCAAATCACTTAGACAGAGTCCAATGTACATTTTTGAAACTTACTAGGTTTTTTTTCTAAAGATGAACCAATGTAGAACATGATTATACATATATCACAGTACTTAATCTTCCTTCACTAACAGACCATTAACTTTATGTGAACAAAGAATTCTTATGTAGTCTATTGTCCGGGACAATACAGTTGATTCATCAACCTTATTGTCCTTAATTAATTACAGAGTTCCTTCGAAACTAACACCTTAACACTCCATTTCACATTCCCAGTTACTTTACTGATTAATTACTATTAATTAATAAATTACAGTTAATTACTTAACTATAGAATCAATCTATAAATTAATTTAGTTAGCTAATTATTGAAAAATTATTCTAAGTTAAGAGTAAATTGTAACTTTTCTTAACATTTTTTTGTAATTTATTATTATTAATATATTTGTTTTTTTTCTCAATAAATTATGTTATACAACTTCTATAACATGTTTAAAAAAAAAAAATAAATTTTCATAATTATTTTAAATTTCTATGTTATTGACAAAATACTTTTAAATATAATATATAGATATTGGTTAAACAATATATACATAATAATTGAGGATGTCATTAACTTTATGAGATAGTGTATAAATAAAAATATAATATGTTCCTGATTAGGTATTTAGATGGCATAATATATATGTATTTTTTATTAATATTATATTTCTTTTTATATTATCTATGAACTACTAATTAATTAATTTGTTTTTAATGTACATTTGAAAAGTAAGATGAAAAAAATTTAATATACAGATTTTTTTTTGATATTAAAATTAATATAATTTTCCTTTTGGTTAATATAAAATAAATTTATATTATTTTGATGTATATTTCTTTATTTGAATTATTAATAGAAGTTTTATTCCATGATTATAATATGAGTTGTTTATTAAAATAATTATGAACTTTTATTTTGTTCATAGAGAGGTCACATATGGGAACAAATTTTAATTATGCTTCCTAAACGTGTAAAATTAGTTATGTTGAGTGCAACTGTAACAAATGTCATTGAATTTGCTAACTGGATTGGGCGTACTCGCAACTCTAAGATTTATGTTGTGTTTACTCTTTATCGACCAGTTCCTCTTGAACATTATATTTATGTTGGCTCAAATACATCTTTGGAAATAAAAGACAATATGCATCTAGTTCGAAAATCAGACAGCAGATTTCTTGTAAATGGGTATGATTATTTTTGATAGTTTTAGGATTTTATTGAACTAGGTTGTTACTACATTATAAACTTTGAAATATCAGGGTATTTTAAATTTGTCATGAAAATTCAGAAATGTCAGAAAAAAATATTTATAGTTACAAATCACTGTAGATACACTTAACTGTGTATAGTTCATACTTAATTAATTAAAGAAAATTGTTTAACTACATTAATAACAAGACAAATTTGCGAATTAATAGCTTTAATTATGTATTATTATTATACCCTGCATTATACTGTAGAGCTACAGGAAGAGATCAAGTATGTGAATACTTTATATTATGTGAATGCCAGATAATAAATATTTTGTTAGGTTCTCTAACTATCAATTATTATTAAACTACTCCAACTAATAATTCTTCTCCTTTTCTTCAATCCAACTATTTGGGGTCAAACTACCTAAATTTAAAATTAGAATACCTCATTGACAGAAATCAAACATTTTAATATCAACATTTATTTAAAGTAATACTTTTAGTTCTCATTTGAAAAACTAAAGTTTGCATCACTAAAGGCTACTCTTTAAATGTAGTGAAAAATCTAAGTATTCGAAAATACACAAAAAAATTCCAAAAATCACAATTTGAATATATGCAAAATTTAATCAAAAAAAATGGGGTGAGTACACTTAGTGAACCATCCTACATACATTAAAATATAAATTCAGTATCTAAGTATTTAAAAATAACAAAAATGTAATTAGATAAAACATTTAAAAATTTGATTAAAACAATACATATAAATAGTACCCCATAAAAAATAATCAGTAAAATCTGGGTATTTTGAAATCTTACATCTGTACCAACCCTTAATTAATTGAAATATTAAATAAGGTTATTTAAATATATTTACAGATATCGTAAAGCTTTTGACCAATTTAAAAAAAATCAAGGTAGAAAGAAATATCGGAATATTAAATATGGAAAACCCAAATGGATCAATTTTCTTAGATTTCTTGATAAGAATAGTTTATTTCCAGTAGTTGTTTTCATTTTATCCAGAAAAAAATGTGACATAATGGCAGAATCTCTAAAAAATTCTGTAAGTTTTTTATTGAATAATAAAGAATCGCAAGCAAATGAATATTTTTTCAATGAGGCTATAAAAAAATTAAAACCCGAAGATAGGATATTACCTCAAGTAACTATTCTTATATTTAGTTATTATTCTAATAATTTAAAGATTAATTTTTAGGTTGTTTTGATGAAAGAACTACTGTGTCAAGGTATTGCGGTTCACCATAGTGGTATTTTACCAATATTAAAAGAGATTGTTGAAATGCAATTTCAAAAAAGTTTGGTTAAGGTAATTAAAATTTTAAAAATAATTGATCAGTTTTTTATTAAATTTAATTTAATCACACACTAAATTACTTTACAGTGTCTTTTTGCCACAGAAACATTTGCAATAGGTATTAATATGCCAGCAAGAACAGTGGTATTTAATGATATTAACAAATTTGATGGCATAGAAAAACGAAATTTGGCACCAGCAGAGTATACTCAAATGGCAGGACGTGCAGGTCGTCGAGGCCACGACCCTAGTGGTACAGTGATAATTATGGCAACAGAAAAACTACCTAATGACCAAGAAATGACCAATATGATGCTAGGTTGGTTTTAAATTAAAATAATACATATTTTTAATATTATATACATTTTAGATCCCTTTCTATTTCTTTTAGGTAAATCTGCAAAATTTGAATCTCAATTCAAAGTTAGTTATTCTATCATTTTGAACATGTTTAAAATAAAAAACTCTGACACTCTGGAAACAATTTTAAGTAGTAGTTTTATTGAAGCTGATAGAGCTAAGAAAAAAGATGAATATATTAAAGAATTGAATTCTTTAAAAGAATTAGATGAAAATGATTATTGGCAACCAACTAGCCAGCAAGAATTAATTGTAAATGAATTCTATCTTGCTACTAAAGAGTATTTAAACTGCAGAAAAGAAAACTGGGTAATTATATTATAAAAAAATACTTACTAGTATCAAAAGTTATTTTTTACTATTAAATAAATCAAAAATATATTTTAATCTAAGTATACCAATATTTTATAATTTAAATTGTATAATTAATTAGTTTAGTTTAATATTAATTACACAATTGAGTTAAATAATTTACATTAATATTATAAATAAATGACATATTTACTGATTTTTAAAATACAAACAATTTTTAATTCAGAAGTCCAATACCTCTTTACTTCCTGTAAATACACCACTAGGATATACATTTATTATAAATCAATTTTTTTTACTTTTAAATTTTATATTTGTATGCAATAAATTTATAGGTAATACATATATTATTAAAAATTCTATAATATAAATTTTATTATATAAAATAACATATCCTAACTGACTGACTGACAGACTGATTTATTATCGCCTAGCCCTAACTACACAAACATGCTGAAATTTAGCATACAAATAGCTATTAAAATATAAGCATCCTCTAAGAAAGGATTTTTGAAAATTCAAACCTCAAAAGGGGTTAAATAGTGGTCTTTAGGTATTTTTTGGTACAAATATTTAATTGTTCATTTGTTCATCTTTGGGTACTTATGAGCTACCTTGGTGACATGGATGACAATTTGGTTGTCATGGACAAGAAATCTATTATTTACACCATTATCTAGTAATAGCAAAGCATTGCTGGGTTAGCTAAATTAGATGGTGGCCAGATATAAAATACTAAAATATAGGACCTTAAAAAAAAAAAAATAAATCAATATTCTTTGGGCATTTGATCACAATTTTACAAATTATAATTATTTGTTTAATATTTTATTATGAGTATTAATAATATGGATTAATATGATTTATTTGATGGCCAAAGTTGATATGAATACAACAATATTTGCACACAAAATTATGAACAGTGGACACCAACTGACTAACCTATTACCTACAAAGTTTACGAATTATAAATCCTGTATAGAATCATAGAAATGTGGCCACAAAAAGAAAAATAAGCAAAAATATACTCATATTGTCTTATCTGCCACCCTATAGGTCTTCCGAATTTGATCCAATTTTATACATATAATTAGATTTACCTATTCATTATCAAATAGCTATATAATATTATTTTAAAAATGCATTTATATTTTCTACTGTATCAATATTTTATGTAGATAGATGATAATTGTATGTATATTTTTTACATATTTTGTATATATATTATGTTTATATTATGGGCATTTTGAATTCTGGACAATTTAGCATTCTGAAAACTTTTTTCAGGATAACAAGACAGACTTTTGAAGTACAATAATTTCTCAGATAATACTGTACATCTGGTTATCTTAATTATAATATATTGTAAACAATAAATGTATATTTATACTGTAAATGGGTTTATACTACACTTCTTGTGATATAGTTATAAATAATAAAATAATTATGTGATTACTAGTTAATCATTTTAGTTTACAATAAAATATTTTGACACTACATATTTATTAAGTATTCAAATATTAAATTTAGGATAAAATATATGCAGCAGCTGATATAAGTTTTAGTGAAAATGGCAGATTTGTTATTATTGCATACCAACATTATATTGGTAAACTAGCTATTATATTATCAAGTAATACAAAAAAAATTCCAAAAGAATTCCGGTAAATTGAATTATGTATTATATTATAGCTTATGAATACTTGGTCTTCATAATTTGTTTTATATATTTCAGTGTATTAGTATTAGACAAAGATAACATAAAAAATGAATTATCTGATAATAAAATTGATTCGTGGTCTAAATATATCTATTTATCTCAAAAAAGAAGACAAATAAATAGATCATTAGATGTTTTCTGGAATAATGCACATACAATTTTAACTATATCTTCAAATTCAATTATGGCAATTACAAAATTTTCTGGAAATTTTGATTATGATTCCATTATCAAAAATTGGGAAATGAGGCAACATGAAAATTTTAAGTATGTAAAATATAATCATATTTAAGTATTTTTACTCACATATAATATTTTATATAATAAATGGAATTATTATATGTGATGGCAAGGTTTAAGAATTGAATTTTTATTTAAAACAATTTATTGACATGTAATAAATGTATAATATGTATTAAATATTTTGAGTTTTAACAATTATTTAGACATGCAGCCATTTCAAATCACTGTCAGCGAGCTATCACAATGCTATCAGAAAAGACGTTATTATTAAATCGATCAAAAGTAGCTAATTCAATATTAAATTTGTTTGATCTTCAGATCCATCAACTTGAATTACACATAAATATGTTGCATTTGATTGCATTAGAAAATCAATTACATAGTATAGATTTGTCTGATGTTATTGCATTTGAAGAAGTAGTAAGTGTGTGTTTTATAGTGAGTATATTATGGTTCTAAAACAGAAAATTATGATTCACAGTTATAATGTACAAGTGGGTGTCACCTAGCTTCCCTAGAATGGTCTTTTTATTTAATTTCACTGTTTTTTTCCTTTATTTTTGTTTGTGTGTATAAGGATGTTATAACAACTTTTTTGTTTGCAATTACTTGTATATGATCTTCAGTCTTTTCTTCAGCCACTAAAAAAAAAAAAAAAATCATCTGGTCATTTTGTTGATATATTTATTATAATTATTTCCACGTGATATGATATTTAAGAAATAATCACTTAAAAGAACCTCAAAAAAACTCAATTATTATCAAATTTATTAAAGTGACCTGAACTTGGCTTTGCCTGAATGTTTTGTTAATTATGCGAAACATGTCTTCAAAAACATTTAAATATTTGAATACTTAATAAAAAAAATTAATTTTTATTATAAGTGATTAAGTGTTTATGAAAAATGTTTACAACACCATAAATTACACTGTACAAAGGTTATTCAAGACCACACATTTTTGTCATAATACATCCCTATTCATTTCATGGTGGATACAATCTCGGGCCCAATATGAACGAAGTTGTTAATTATGCCAATCCTCAATGTATTAAATATTTAATTAATGTCATTGTCTGTAATTGTAATGGAATTGTACAATTCAATGGATGTAAAGTTATTAAAGAATTTAATACATCATTAATGATGATCGAAATATTTTTTTGAGATTCTTTAGAGTGATAATTTTGTGAAAGGGGCAGAAATAATTTTTAATACGAAAAAACTCTGAAGATGTTCAAAAATAATATCACTTTTGATCTCCTGGTGAACCAGGAAGTAGCTTAGTTACATTGGGAAATGTTTTGTATCTTTCTATTTCAATAAAATTAACATTTGATAAAAAAAAACCCCATAAGAAGAACAAAAATCACTTTCAACCTCCTGGTGATCATCAAAAGTCTTTAGGGTGATTTTCATGTTTACACTGATACTATTGAGGTCAAACTGAATATCTATGTAAATTTCAAGACAAACAGCCATGTAGTTTAGGAGATCACTACTTTCATTGTTATTTTCTTTTACAGTGTTATTAAAGTGGTATACAGCATATTACCAAATACCTAAAGAATTAAATGATTTACTTTATATTATATATATATGAACAACATTAATATTTAATGAGTGTTGATTTCATAAAAATTATTTGAATAATTATTCTTGTCTATAATTGATTAGATTTTAAACCAGAACTAGTTTGAAAATTAAATATAATGAAGCTATATTTCATAGATTTAAACAATATATTATATTATATTATAATTGAATGATTTTAGTTCTTAAAAGTTTATAAATATCAAACAAGAAAAGAAAGAATAGCAGAATTGGAACACCAAATATCAAATAAAACATTGCAATTATACAATGAATACATAAGCAAAGTAGGAGTTCTCAAAGAACTAAAATATATAAATCCTAAAAATGAAATAAGTAAGTAATCATTATTAATTGTTATAAAAATGTATAATATATGATTATATTTGTTTAATTTTAGCAACTCAAAAGGGAAATGTAGCTGCAACTATGGGATCACATGAACTTTTAATTACTGAGTTACTTTTATGTAATATGTTTGAAGAAATGAAACCGGAAGAAATTGCTGCAGTTCTATCATGTTTAGTTTGTGAGTCAAAATCTGATTTTGATGTGGGATCAATTAAAGAAGAAAATTTAGTGAAGGTATAAATTGAAGAAAAATTGTTTTACATTAAAAAATACTCAAAAACCACAATTTTATAATTAAAAATATTGTAATCTTAGGGAATGAATTTAATTAAACAAAAACATAATTACATTCAGTCAGTTGAATCAAGCTATTTGAGCAACTATGAACGTGTTGATCTTAACTTTAATCTAGTTAAAGTGCTACATTTATGGGCTCAACAGAAGGTAAACCATTATATAAATACAAACGTAATATAGATATTGTACTCACCTGTATCACATGTTTTTACCATTGTTAATCAATGAAATAATTCATTTTTCTTAGCCTTTTTCTGAAATAATGGAAATAACAGATATTCAAGAAGGAATTATAGTACGATGTATAGTTCAATTGAATGAAATTTTGACGGTTATTAAAAATGCAGCAAAAACAATTGGTACTAATACAATCAGTGAAAAAATGCAAGTAGTTCTTGAAAAAATAAAAAGAGATATTGTATTTACTCCATCTTTATACATGGAATAAGTTTTAGTTTAAAAGGCATATAAATAAATTATAATAATTGACAAAAATATTAAATCTTTATTACTATTATTAGAGTGTTTAATTTGTACAAAATCTGAACAATAATAGGTATAAACCCATCTATTTGTGTTTAAATTGAAAAATTATACAATTTATAAAATGGTCACTGTAATGAATGGAAAGTTTTAAATATGTAGAATATAAAGTAAAATTAATTTATATACTAAAAGCAACAATACATCATTGAAACCAAATAATGACTTTGAGCGAAGTAGTATTAATCCTTAAATTTTATACAATTTAGGTCTAAATCTGATCTACTTATATACTTAATATACCTAACTCATTAAATCAGCTTGAAACTTATTAGTTTTTTAGCTTTTATCTTACAAGATGCTACTCATGGATTTTGTTATTTCCATCTTACAAACTCAAAATATAGTTAAAACATGCTTACATAGTCACACAGACTACACAGAACTCGCTTCATTTCAGTTCTATGTTAAAAAAAACCTTTTATACAATTAATAGAAAATAATGTAATGGAGGGCAAGATGTTGCATTTTTTTCAAAAGTTTTAGTGAATTAAAAAAATGTTGAAAAGTCCTTATTTATAAACGGTAAATTAATTGTTATATCCAGAGCAAATTGAAAAAACACAAAGTCTTGATTTCTGGAATATTGTTTTCTATTAATTTCATAATAAGTGCTTTTAATCTAAAACCATACTTAAACGAGTTCTGTGTAATCTACATAACCATGTTTTTACTAAATCATGTGTTTGTAAGACAAATACAGTTCAAATAAAGTTCGCAAATCTATAAGAGATTACAAAACTCGGACAAAATTGATCGGTAATATATTTACCCCCATTTTACAAATTCTTAAAATATACTCATTTTTAAAAAATATATACAAAAAAAAGAAAAATTCAATTTTTTATTTTGAATGATGCATAGTATACCTGTACTTTTTCTTATTAAATAATACAGTAAAACTTCCATATAACGATCACCGAAGGAGTAGTATAAAAATGCCGATCCTGGTTCTGGTGTTGGTGTCATATCCCTGCCCCGAACCGCAGGTTACTACCTCGTAGGTTACCGCTCGGTACTCCGCCCCCGTCACTCACCGCAGCTCATATATTCCGCAACCCACGACCACCACGATCTTTTACTTTTTGGTGACGGATAGGGCAAGACGCACTATGATAGGAGCCCAAATGAGTCATCATGGACATAGTGTTGTATTGTGCAAACGTTGCTTCAAGTGCTATTCAAAAAGTAAAGGACTATTTACCGCAGAGGATCGGCTTAGAGAATATACAATTTATTGCAATAAGAATAAACCGTTAGCACTAATTTTGCCGGCACCAAAGACATTTATGAAATTTGAAAACTGAGGGGTCACTAATAAACATCCATTTACGATTTACGTGGATTTTGAATGTTTATTGGAAAAAGAACCAGATGCACAACAAAATAATAATACAAAAATAATCCACCACCATGGAGTCATGAGCTATTGTTATTATATAAAAACATCAGATGACGTCTCAAGCGAATTATTAGAGTAGCATAACATAAAGACTGGTCCGGTTGTATTTAGGGGAAATTCGAGTATGAACAAAGGTGAATTAGTGGCTAAATTTATGGACGAAATTGTTAAAGTCGCCCAAATAATTGAAAATGTATTAAAAACCAACGTATCTCTCATAATGACCGAGGAAAATAATAAGAACCACAGGGAGATAGCTGTGGAGTGTGTCCTCTGTGTGAAAAAAAATTGAATAGTGAAAATTTACCGGTTCACGATCATAATCATTTAAACGGGGCCTACCGAGGTACTGTTTGTAGTAAATGCAATCTTTCAATGCATCAACCCCAATTTGTTCCATGCTTTTTAATAATCTTTCGGGTTATGATTTGCATTTTATTGTCAGACAATTAGGAAACGACACGAAATCGATCTCTGTAATTCCTAATACAGAAGAAAATCTAATTTCATTTACAAAGTACATTTTACCTGAATTTCAAATAAGATTTTTTGATACATGCCGCTTCATGCAATCGAGTTTGAAAACAGTTACCAATAATTTAGCTCGAGGTGACAAATCTAAATTTAGAGAGACGGCAAAAATATTTGCATCTAATGATATGAAATATGTGACTCAAAAAGGGTTTTATCCCTGCGAGTACACAGATAGTTGGGAAAAATTGGATGATTCGTCACCATCACCTAAAGAAGGATTTTATAATAGGTTGTTAGAAAAGCATATTAAACACGAGAACTACAAATCTGCAGAACGTGTTTGGGAACACTTCGGGTTCAAAATTTTAGGAGAATATAGCGATTGGTATATGAAAGTTGACGTGAGACGTGCGATGTGTTTGAGAATTTTAGGAATTTATGTATGGACACATATGGCGTAGATTCAAATACTATTATATGGCACCTGGCATGGCGTTCGACTGTGCGCTAAAAATTACGAAGGGGGAACTCGAACTGTTATCTGATTACGACAAAGTTCTAATGATGGAAGCGGGCATCCGTGGTCTACTAATACAAGCTGTGAAACGGTATTCAAAAGCCAACAGCAGTAAAGTTCCTGACTATGATCCTTCGAAACCGGAATCAACAATTGCTTATTTGGACGCCATGAATCTGTATTTATTATCAATCATATTATTGTTATTATTATTTATTTCATTTAATTTAATTTTTCTAGGCATGGTTGGGCTATGATGCAGTATTTACCAAAGAATGGATTTGAATTGTATGACAAAGACTTGAGTACAGAAAATATTTTGAGATTGCTAGATGGAATGGACGATACTTCTCCGGTAGGGTTGATCTCAGAAGTAGACGTCACATATTCAATATTTACATTTATTTAACATTACACGATGATCATGATTTGCCATACCTTCCTGAAAGAATGATACCACCGGATCAAAAATAAATAAACTTGTTGCGAATTTAATGGAAAAAACAAAATATGTAGTACACTATAGGATTTTAAAGCAGGCCCTGAGTGCAGGATTGGTGTTAATAAAAGTATAATAAATAAAAAACTGTTCCAATATTTCATATTATTATTATTATTATTTTTTTTTTTAATAGGTACATAGAATTTTGAAATTTAATCAATCTCCATGGCTTGAAAAGTATATTGAGTTAAATACCACAATGAGAAGAAATGCTGAAAATGACTTTGAAAAAGATTTTTTCAAACTCATGAATAATGCTGTTTTCGGTATAATATTAATTTTTGTAATTTAATTTTTTTTAATTTGATGTTATTTTACAGGTAAAACTATGGAAAATGTGAGAAACTGTATGCAAATGAAGCTGATATCAGATGAAAAACAGTGTCTTAAATAGATAAATAAAATTAATTTTAAAAGTATTACTAGGTATCACGATAATGTAGTTGCAATACATCTTCATGCAGTGAAGTTAAAGTTAAACAAACCGATATATGTTGGATTTTCTATTTTGGATATATTTAAAACACTGATGTATGATTTCCACTACGGTTCTATAAGACAACACTTTAACAAAAATATTGAACTGATATATATGAATACGGGTAATAATAAAAAAAAAAAAAAAAAAAATTAATCTCATACTATAGTAATACTAAAAACTATGTAACTATTGCAGATTTACTTATATACGATTTAAAGAACCTTGAATTTTTTCAAAGAGATGAAACAAAATTAAAATTTTTTTAAACGAATGGACACGTCAAACTTTCTAACCGACCATCCTTGCTATTGTGTTGATCGTAAGAAGATTCCAGGAACTTTTACAGATGAGACAGCTGGCAAACTTATTCGGGAGTTTCTCGCTTTACGATCCAAGTCATACGCTTACAATTTAGCTGGCGAGGAAAATATAAAGGCTAAAGTTGTACGAGGTCATGTTGTGAAAAATCATATGACCATGGATGATCACAAAAAATGTTTATTTTGGTTGGGCGCAATGCAGAAAACTGGTGAAACTCAGGAGTTAGCTGTTCAGCAGGCCAACAAATTCGAATATACGGAATCCACTTCAACAAAAAACCTATATACACCTTTCAAAGTAAATAAATCTCTTAGATCGTTTAAACATCAAATGAAAATGATTTCAACTGTAAAACTTGCTCTTTATCGACATGATGATAAGAGATTCGTTATGCCAGATCATATTCACACTCTGGCACATGGGCATTATAAAATTGAGTATGTTTAAATAATATATATATATGTTTTTCAATAAATTATCAACCATATTATTATTTTTTAGGAAGTTGGAAATTGAACAACTACAGGCATTCGCAGAGGAATTGCATGCATAAATTAATGATTGTATTTGAAATATATTTTTTTTGTATTATAACTGTATATTGGATAAAAATAAAATTAAAAAAAAAAAAAAAGCATCACTGATTTAAAATATAAATTATCCTTTATTTTCAAAAATTATTTACAAACCATTTTTTAAATGCGAAAACTTTATAAAATATACATTGTTTGGGATTTAAGTTCATATGAAAAATGCAACAAGGTAATGACGTATTTTCGTTACACAGTTGATCGATCCGTGGAATTCCTAGTTCTTCCATATTGATAACGTTCACTTGCGGAACGTATTCATTAATGATTTTCTGTTTTTGCTCGCATTTGACGTAAATGGTTTCAAATTTTAACGAGTTTAAAATTCGATCTAGCTCTTCGTACTCTACATCTCCATACTTTAGTGCCAGTTGATGAAAATTGGACTCGAGTCATTTATTAGTTTTACAACTTTTTCTGTCCTGTGTGGTGTTTGGATGTTTAAATATCCAATGTTAAGTTGACCACCCATCGAGGTCCACCACAGACATATCTTTTATCAAATATTTATTATCTGATCTGATTTAAAAACTCTTTCTCCTTTGGTACGGATCACTTTTTCGATTAAGTAGTCATTTGGCAAATTTGTTTTATTTAATTCTTCGCTATAAGAACAACCTGCAATTGAATTCCCTAAATAGTCTTTTAACATGTACGTCGTAGGTATGGTTTTATTTATTTTAACAATAGTGAAAAGCTCTGTCGACCAATTTGGGAGATAACCTTTCGTAAACACGCCTTTCTGTGTACTGATACGTACGCTATCGCCTACGATAAATTAATTTTTTCTAGTAGGTAAAATATTATCGTATTTTAATTTAACTGCTGCAGGTTTATTATCTGTCTCTGCCGGTGTCATTCCTATCGTTCGGTGTTTAGAATTATTATAATTTTTAATTAACATTTGCAAACTATCTATCCAGTTATGTATCCTTCTAGCAGTAAACTCTCTAAACATTTTTTCTTTTAGCGTACGATTGAACCGCTCCACAATAAACGCCTTAGTAGTACTAAAGGTTGAATATTTAACATTACATTTTTTCATTAACTCGTCAAACGCTGTATTGTAGAATTATTTTCCATTGTAAAGCTGTAATAACTTGGGCGAGTGATTAACTAATATTATAGACATTGCAATAGTGACTTCTTTCGCAGTTTTCGACTTTAGAGGTATAGCCCATGCATATTTCGTAAAACAATCGATAACGCATAATATATATTTGTAACCCCTATTATTACTAGAGTACGGTATCAATTCGATTAAGTCGGCTTGCCATAAATCATTTTTCCTATAAACATTAACTGTTCGTCTAGTAAAATTTTTTCGTGCAGGTTTATGCAGTTCGAACGCGATCTCGCGTTTAGACATTTGGAATCCTCTGTATTATACCAGCTTCGAGTAGTTTTTCAAAAATCAACAATATCTCGTTGCCAACAACGGTATTCTTTGCCGATTGCGAAGCTAATAAAATTTGTAACCTATCGACTAACTCATTGGGATCGTTCCAATATACTAAAGTATTTTTCTGCAATTTCATGCGTAGTCCTTTGCCCAAAGGAAATAATTTTGAAATAATATTTATGTATTTATTACCACCTTTTCTAATCCTAGATTCAGCAAAGGTTAAATAGGCGCTCGTTTGTACCAATATGGACTTGTATGTTTCTAAATCCTGTTCAGTATAATTAATCGGTGATTTCAAGAAAATTAATTCCAAAAGCCCCCCCCGTTAAATTATATTCGCTTTTCGATGAGTTTATGACAATTGTTTTATTGTCAGTGAATTGAATTATATGTTTTCCTAAAATAATATGATTGTGATATAATTTTTTGAGTCCGTAGGTTTTATCCAAATCTGGAGATAAAAATCAATTATTATATGATGATTTAGTCTTATCGATGACTGAATTTGTTGAATCCCTATCTATTAAATCCGTCGAGCATAAAATTAAAGAGCAACCCCCTCCATTATCCTACACACACTAAAGTGGGGTGCTTAATTAAATATGTAATATTAAATCATAACGTATATTGATAATATCTGTAGTATGTATAATTGATAATATCCATGAATAAGAACCAGTGCGGTATCGTCTGTGATAATGAGCATGATAACATTGTAAAATAATGGTAAAATATATTAATAAGAGTTGATAGTATCTATGGTAATAATATTTGTCTGTCTGGTGTGAATGTGCGTGGGTTGCGGGATGTAGTACGGAGTAACGAGCGGTGTGGGCTGCGGCGAGTGGCGGGGGTGGAGTAGCGAGCGGTGCGGGCAGCGATGGGGGTGGAGTACCGAGCAGCTGCGGTTAGTGGCGGAGATATGACACCAGCACCAGCACCAGAACCAGGATCGGCATTTTTATACTACTCGAAGGGATCGGAAATTATTTCACTATTCAGAGCTGACCGTCCTTTAGAGGTTTCCTATAGAGGCATAATACCTAATGGGACCAAAAAAGATGACCCAATCACCTCTTAGCATAATTCTAATTTAGCAACCTATCAATTTTTTGGGTTTTTTTTTTAAATTTATGTTTTTGTGTACATTAATTATGTAAAAAAATCGGACGAACTTCGTTTGGAAGTTATAGGGGAAAATTTCACAAAGTTCGGGTTTTCTGATTCGCATATTTCTTAGTGGGAATTTAACATTTTCATTTTTTTTTTCTAAAATGTGTATTTTTTGATGCTTAATTCATTGGTATAATAAAAACTTACCTATCAAATTTACTTTTATAGTTTTTGTACATTAACCTTGAAAACTAAAAAATGACCACATTGGGTCTCTAATTACAACTATAATGCTTTTCACTTTTCTTTGTTACTTTTGATTAAAATTGTCCGAGTGAGCTAGACGATATTGGGCTTTTTATTCTTATTATGAATAATTGTTATTAGTTAAGTCGAGAATTATTGTGCTGGCTACGTACAAAATTATGTTTGTTTTTTTTTTCTGAATTTATTAATGATAATTGTTGATTTGCAATTTGCAGGTTTTCTATTTACTCGTGCAATTTATCAAATTTGGAATTATTTAGGCTATTATATTTATTTATTAATTGTATTTTGGATTTTACAATTTCTGTCTCAATTTTAAGTGGGAATTTAGAAGTTTACCCTGTTAAAATAAACTCAATCATCTCATATTTTCTCACGTTCTTTTTTAACTCGGCCAATGATTCGTTTTCAATAATACCTATAGATCGGGCTATAGATGGTTTATTTAGTTTTATATTAATTATATCCAAGGTTTTATATTTTTTGTTTATATATATAATTTTTACTTTTTTAATATAATTTACCTTTTTAAACTTAATTTTCTCTTCAGGTTTTATAAATATAATACATATATACCTATAATTTTATTTATTATTATTGTTTTTTTTTAAATCAAATAAAATTGTAAAAATATCTGTAAGGTAAATTGTCTCGTTAATTTTAACCGGATAATGTAAAACCAAACATAAGTAATATTTTTAATAGTGGTAGTCGTAGTCAAGGGTAGTTAAGCGGGGGGGGGGGTATATTCACCTCAATACCTCATTTTTCTTAAGTATTTATAATAATATACAGAGTGAATTTTTAAGCATGCTCAGTGCTCACTTTTTTTTTTATGGTTAAATTATACATAATTATGATTTTTTAGAATTTGTATGTGTAGTGAAAGACGATATTTTCGAGTACATGGGTTTTATTTAAAATTTGAACTTATGCATAATTTAACCATAAAATTGAGGTAAACATGCTTAAAAATCACTCTGTATATTATATTATATCAAAAATAAAATAATAAATAAAAAAAAAGACTTTAAATTATGGTAAAATAATAACTTATGCATTATATATTTTCTTTAATAATATTTGTTTGATATTTTATTTGTTTTCCCGGTTTTTCCCATGTTTTTCCTATTTATTGGGAAAATTCTTGGGAAAATCAAAAAATGACTTCCCTAAAGTACCTCTCCAGGAAAATTACTTTTCAGAAGGGTGCTATAATTGATACTTCGGAGCAAGATTTCTGGTAGAATTTTTGTACACAGTATAAAAAAAAAAATATCTGTAAAACTAATACATTCTTTGTTACACTTAGAATCTCAAAACGATTATCTAAATAATAATAGTTTTTAAAAATTATCCTCATCCTTCACACATTACAAAACCATTTGACCGCCACTGGTTGTAGTGGTGGAGGCCTCTTAGTGACAAAACGGCAAAATGTTCTAAGACGGAAGGTGGGAGTAGTCGACCTATACCGGTTCCGCGTGTATCGGACGATATTTCGTCCCGCGTAGTCAGTTTTATTCGATCACCAGATCAATACTATCCGTATTACGTCGTAAACCGTTTTACTTCATCTACTGTTATTCATAAAAATCCCGACGTTCCTGCACAACGATTGTAAGTATAATAGAAGTATACATTTTTACATTTTTATGTCTTATAAAATAGATAGGATAGAGGGTTCTTGAACTCGTTGTTTACTGTAATGTAAGCAAGACCGGAATTATGGAAGAAGACGAGAATTTATCTTCGGCGTATAAAATTTCGGGACGTATTTAAATAACTTTTGTTTGTATTTATTTATTGTTAAGGATATACATCTTTAATGTAATTATTCAGTATCTTAGATGATTAGGAAAACGTGTTCCTTGTGTATGTTTTACATTTTAGTAAAACATAGTGGAACTTATGGTTTTACAAAGATGTTTATTTTAATTTTATTTTTTTAAATTTTCTACCAAAAATCATGCGCCGATTTTTAAGTGTAGCACTTTTTCTGAAAGGAAATTGGTGTGGGGAGGTACGTTAAAGAGGACATTTTTCGATTTTTCAGGAGTTTTTCCAGCAAATATGAAAAACCGGGAAAAACTAGGAAAAAAGTAGGAAAACTGGGAAAATCGGTACAACATTTAATAAATATTAAGAAAATATACAAAGCCTATATAATTATTTTACTATAATATGGCATACATATTTTTGATAAAGCATCACTATCAACTGAACTCCGCTCAGAATCGTTTTTACGTAATCAATGGTTTATCGCTGCTTACAAGTATATATTAAATTACCTATAACAATGGCTGCACCAGTCTCCATTATTCTAGGATGTCTTTTTTAAATATTAAGTTTTATAATAGAAGAGAAACACCTTGGTTCCCCGGTGTAAAAATACCTACTTCTGGCACTGAGTATACCTAGTTATTAAAAATGTAATATACTCCTTACATACCGATCTACTTTGCGGCATACTTTAGGCGTCATATTATGTATTTTTGTGACAATATTATCGGTTCTGCAGTAAAAAAAAATATATATATATATATATCGATTAAATCTATCGCTATTCTACGAATAATGATATTTTTCAACTTTTACAAAAAATCCGCTAAACATATTTGTTTCCGTTTCAGTTAAGAGCAAACATTTCTACTTGAGAATAAGTTTTAAATCAAAATTATATTACTTTGGTAAAAATGGTAAAATTGTTTTGAACATTACAGAAATCTGTGTTGTTAACAGGCACCCTCGAGTTTACCAAGGTCAGGATAATAAAAAAAAAACCCCTCTAGACACCTGCAGCCGTTCACAATCAGATTTGTGTTGATAAACATCTTCAATAGACTGCACCTGTATCCTTTCAAAAAAGAAAATCTATAAGTATAGTATTTTATTTTTGTTACACAACATCGTTGTCTAATGACATTTCCTCTCTCAATGCCCGTTCAAAAGATTTATCTTCTTTTTTTTTCAAATGAAATGGTCTTCGTCTGTTTTTAACGGTAGGCATAATTTATTATATTGAGGTCGAACCAGTTCGTGGAAGGTTCAAAACGGACGGACGACATGACCATTATTTCGATGATATATTATTAGTCGTTAAATTTTATTTTCCCTTCACATGTATTTTTTCCCCACGATCGTTTTACACACATACACAGACTCGTCAAAAGATATTTCCACCCTAAAGCGAAAATTGTATTACCGTCTTTTGACGATTATTAATTTTATTTTGCCGATTCAATTTATTTAAAATTGTGTGCCTCTCTAGAGCAACGTATGGCTTGTTTGTTCCCTAGCGGCGGGCCTGCACATACACAATCGAAAACAATCGATTTATCGTATACGGATTATAAAATATTCTACGTTCCGAGTGATTGATACTTACCTAGATTATAATATGGTCCGTCTGACCCGTGCATGTACACAATGAAACTAAAATATTATTTTTTTAATTAAATTGTATTGAATTAATTAATATATAAATTATTTTCCGGTAGATTTAACAATATATAGAATTTATCTACAGAATTTGATAATTTCCTATTACATATGTATAACATATTATGCACATAGAAAATTGTAAAATTTAGCACATACACCCTATACACAGTGCCGCAAAAATATGCGAGGTATGCGAGGTGAGCAAAATAAGCACATAGACCACCAACTCTAAGAGACATTAAAGTCGAAACGCTTAATTTCAAATTGTCTTTTTTAAAATATTATGTTTTTTTTCTTTTATCTATTTTCCTTGCAAAAATCTTACTCCGATTTTAAAGTGTATAGTATCTTTTCTGGAAAGAAATTTTATCTTGGTGGTTCTATTAAAGCAGGTTATTTTTTAATTTACTAAGTGGTTTTGATATTAATTGGGAAAAATGTAGAGAAACTTGAAATTTATGAAATGTATTATTTTAAATTGTGATTCAGTGAAAAATATTCGTAAAGTCTTGAAATGTGGACATAAAACTTATATTTGCCTTTAGGCGTAAAAAAAATCTTTTAGCTGTATAGAGACATTTTAATTTTGCAAATTTTTTTATATAATTTTTATTTGATAGGTACTCTATGGATAAAATTATTAGACCTGACTGAAATTTTTGAATATTTAATCGAAATTTCATTACTAGTCGTTCTTTGTGATTAAAAAAAATCGAGTGTTATGTAGAATTTGTTTAAAAAAGAATTTAAATATCAAATTTTAACGAAAATCGTAAATATCACATCCTTTCAAAACATTTATAGCTGAACTTCACTCTAAAATGGTTTTAGTAAGCAATGATTAATTTTTGCATACAGATCTACACATTCAATTTTGTCCCTATATCCTAACCTACTAATTAAATTAAAAAATACAATAAAATAGGTTTTTTGCCGTTATTTTATTGAAGCAACAATTCAGAACGAAAATTTAAAGTATATAAATTTAAAATTGTAAAATATTACGCCGTAAATTTGTTCGTTTTAATTTTTCAGGTTTTTCCAAATTATTATGAAAACTACTTTTAAAATTTAAAATATAACTTATATCCTTAGTAAATAAATCAAAAATTCATCAAATAAATTCTCTTGTCATTTTTCGATCAGAGCAAGTTTTCTGATGTTTAGAGACAGAAAAACACAAATCATAGTAAAAGTATTAAAAAACAATATACCCCTTACCCCGCTCTGAATCTAAAAATATCTATTAACTTGTATAGTAAACGGTATATAACATTCAAGTATGAAATAAGAATTATTGCACATGAGATTTTGAGTTTATAGTTGCTGTACTGTCTGTACAGGCAACGTAATAATAATATGAGGTATGGCTATTAAATAACGAGACTGGTTACGAAAAGTGTTTTATTACAAAAGTTATTCTACATTCAAATGCTCCCCTTCAATATACTCCCCTCCCCTCGCCACACACCGTTTCATTCGTTTTTTCCATTGCTCGAGGCAGTGCTGGAAGTCTGTTTTCGTAAGACCATTCAGGAGTTCCGCCGATTTTTGTTTCACCTCTTCCATCGACTCAAACCGGATTCCTTTTAAGGCAGACTTTATCTTCGGAAAAAAGTAAAAGTCGCAGGGTGCCAAATCGGGTGAGTAAGACGTGTGTTCGAGTACTGGAGTGCCTTAAGAGGCCAAATAACGCTTCACGCTTTATCCTGGTGCAAGATCTACTTGTTTTTCCACAATATCGACCGTTTCTTACGAACTCGTTCGCGCAATGTTGCCAAAACTGTCAAATAGTAATGTTGGTTCACAGTTTGACCCTCTGGAACCCATTCAGTCATCACGATGCCGTTGATATCGAAGAAAACGGTTTTGAATTTGGATTACGACTGAATTGGATTCCGGTGCACTCTCGACCTTCAGAAAATAATTTATGCCACTCGAAAATACGCGCCCGAGATAGGAAATCCTCACTACAAGCCTCTTTTAACAGCTTATAGCACTCAGTTGGAGTTTTTTTTTTAATTTAACGAGAAAATTTTACGTTTATCCGTTGCTCATGTTTTTCGTCACACATGGTTTTCGGCACGAGAAAAAAACACGTTCGTTTCAAACCACTACTGCACAAGTACTATAATAGTGACGAAAACGTTTAGTACATGCATAGATAAGATATCTAGATACCCAACGCATTACTAGGTTTCTTTCACTATCTATCTAGGGCGCCCTCTAGGCGAGTAGTCTCGTTATTTAATAGCCATACCTCGTATATATTAGATATATTATGCATTTTGTTAATACGTAACGTACGTACGTACGTTAATATATACGTAATGTACGTTAATACAGAGTGATTGTTTAAATATATTATTTAATTTATTATTATGCTCAAGATATAAAAGATTTTTTTCAATCCCGTTTGTTTTTTTAGAAAAAATACGCGTACATAGACTATAATAACTATCTGTTCCAATACTCGGATATTTTTATAATTATTTACTTTTTGTTTTTCAGTAAAAAATAATTTAGGAAGTGTTTAATAATTTCAATACGGTTATTAAAATTTAAAAACACTGCAATTCTATATATATATAGTATTTCTATCGATTATGTCTGATCAATTAGTTTATCTCTCCATAATGAAAGCATTCATTCGTAATTATTATACATGTATCTTATTTACCGTGCGTAATCTAAAATGATCCACCGGTTTTACTGATGTGTGTATATATTATACAGAGTGATTCTTTTATCGTTGAACACTCATTATTTCAAAAAGTATTTTTTTTTCGACATTTTTGATACGAAAAACATGTACCCTTACATGTTGTATTACTGCAATTGTATATACATTTTATTTTTTAACTTTTATATTTAATAGTTAAACCACTAAAAACTTTTGATTTTCAAATAGAAAAACATGCCATTTAATAGAAAATATTATTTTAAATACATATCTATGTTGAAATTTTAGATTTCAGTCAACCCGTTGACGAGATATTCAACTTTTAAGTTTGGGTAGTGGATCATTATTTAAACACCATTCACACCGCCACATGATGCTCCACTACTTTCTCTTTATTCAAAATTAAAAGTAGACTATTTTTTAAACGGGTTGACAAAAATAAAAAATGTCAATATCCAAATCTATTTAAATTAGAATATCCTATTTTACATGTACACGCTTTCATCAAGGGCATCCGTTTTCGAAAATGATTTGACACTGTATGTTTTCAATAATATTTACCTTCCTATTAACTGCTATATGTAAGTTTACGTAGAATAATATTATGTAACTATATTCCTATTTGCTACAATATTACTTATTTATCATAACTATAATAAATAATTGTATAACAAATACGGAAAATCCAAGGGGGGACATGTCCCCTCCCCCCTTTAATAGACGCTCATGGCTTTCATACCTTCACGTGAAATTATCATTCAAATCTCGAAAACTTGAAAAAATATGTAAACACATATAAATATTCACGTTTACACGTATATTCACCATATTTACTTATTCATTCACTATTCAAATTTTGTATTTGAACTTATTGTAATACATGACATAAATTTCCAAAGCATGCTACTATATTCAATGTTAATTTTAAAATATAAATAAATATTATAATCAGAGTAAAAATATGAAAGATTTTTTTTTCTTTTTTGTGTACAAAAACGCTTTAATTTTGTTTTGTTAAGCATTTTCAATTTTTTTCGTCTATGTTTTCGTGTCCAAAGACGTTAACGAATTTTTTTACTTACATTACCCTTAAGTTCTACCCATTTTTTAAACAAATTTTTATGTATTAATTACTTACATAATGAAATTTATATGAATTTGTATGACCTTGGTTTTCACGTTTTTGCAAAAAAAAAAAAAAAACTGTGGGTGGGGCCAGGTTAAGCGATGTCAGCCCCACCCATGGTTAGATTTGACTACGCCATATTTTAATACTCAATATGTATGAATTTGTACAACCGTTTTTACAATTTTGTACGAGCGTAGTTTCTAGGCGATGACGTTTAAAATATATAATCTTTGTTAAATGTTAAGACCCAAATTTAACGATGTACTTTATTATTCAGAAACCTAGACAAAATGTATATATCTACTCATACAAACCATTCGAGGTGATCAATTAAAAAAATGTAGTTACTCTAATGTTACTTATTAGTGTAAATTAATGTCAGATCTATTTTTTTTTCCAGAAAATCTACAAATCATTGACATAATATGGTTTATTGTCATATATATATATTTATGTAAATATAGTAAATAAATATATAAATAAAAAATGTATGTAGTGTATTAGTATAATTTATAATTCACTTATCTTAATATTCGAGGCGACGTATTCATTAATTTATTAATTTTTATATTTATAAATAAATTTTGTATTTTTATATTTATTTACGAGTATTACCCATATAATTAATTTTGTTTTTACTTTATTATTTATTATATATTAATGTGTTTATGCTACAATTAAAACTTATATTTATAAACTACTTGCTGACCCGCCCGGAGTTGACTGTGCCAATTTTTTATTTATTTTTTATCCATTTTTCTTTTCGGTTATGACCGTATTAGTATTGAATTAATTAATAACTTGATTGTATATAATAACAATAATAAGCATTGAGCAAAACCGAAAAATAATGCGAAAAGAACGGGAACATTTACGAAAGAAATGATTTTATTTTATTATTTTTAATTTTGTTTTAACCCAGTTAAAACTATTCATAGAGACTTGTAATTTTAACAGAAAATGTACTATTTTCTTTTGTGAACGTACTAAAATTTTAAAAATATTTCGTTGATTTGTGCACTATTTGTAGACATTTTAATTTTGTGAGTTTTACTTTTTACGTAATTTTTATTTGGTAGGTACTACGTGATTATCATTGTTTAACTTAAGTAACAGAAATACTTGAATATGTAATAAGAGACTTATTATAAGTTGAATTTAGTGGTATAAAAAACGTATAGTAATAATAATAGTATACTAATGAAATATCAAAAATTAATTCCAATAAAGCATAAAGAAAAGTATGACAAGAATTGAAAACAAATTAATAACTTGAGAAATATTATTATATCCCATTTTAGACTATTTGAAAAAAAATATCACTTCAAATGTTTTTCTTTCAATAATACCATAATAGTTAAAAATCTTGACTGCAGGTAATATTAATAATAATTACCTATAACTAAAAAATGTTGGCTGTAAGTTTTTAATACCTAAATGTAATTTGTACGATTATAAAAAAATAATAATAACAATAACTGTACTAATTATAATATATTAATAATATATCATTATGTGCTGTTTTGGTTTTTTTTTATTATACATATAATTGTGTAGTATTTTTAAAGATTTTTTATAACAATGCCTAATTATTATAAATTGGTAATTATAATAACCAATTAATAATGGTTCTATATGATATTATGTATAATTTTTTCCAATTTACCTATAATATCTTTTAATATAACAATTGGTAATCGACGGACGCAATAGACATATTCGATTCTTCGTTTACCTGACACTGGGACGGAATTGTTTCGTGATTATCTCGGGGCACTCGGACACTCAGTCGTAGCATACCTATCTACCTAAATAGCGGTAACGATAAAACCTGATGTCAATGTCAAGGTACTTCTACATAATTCCCGGACAATCGTATGTACAAAATTACGGGTCGTGACTTAAGATGTATCAGACCCAATGTATACCTATAATATTAAAATCGTATATTATTGTAACTACGACCGTATTCATTCGTCTAATATAATAATAATAATAATACTGTTATATAGAACATTGTGACTGGTTTTCGACATTATATAATTTACGAGACTGGTCATTAAAGAGTTAAAACATTTATTAATAACTTAAGTTAAATAAATTAAATTTGAATTGAAATTAACTCAACGTGTTATAATTTAAAATGGACTCATTATTTATTAACTATTGAACTTTTTTTTTTTTTTATTAGCTTAACAATTCGTATCGATGTTAATTTTGAATTATATTATGTATGTACCACGTTAAAGTAAACTCGATAATTTCTTTAATTATAAACATAATATTAAATTTACAATTACGATATATTTACACTAGATATTTGAATAGCACCATATAAGTACTATAAGTAATAACTTTTATTTTACTCAACTATGTATGCGAGGTTCCGATGTTACTTTGACAATTTTTTTTTCCGGAATTCTATGAATTTTACGAAACATTGTAAATTTAAAATAAAAGAACATGCATGCGTGTATAAAAAAAAAGTATCGTCGAAATTATAGAGCATAACAACGTATTCTAATTCTTAGCTTTTTCAAATTCAAATATATCTATCAAAATCCGGTGTTTAGTTAGGTATAACTTATAACTAGGGAACGGATTTGAATGCAAATTGCATTTTTTTCTGAATGACAGAAAACATTGCTTTCCAAGCACAAAGTTCATTTCATACATCAAGGAATTAAGAAATGTAACTTTTATTTTGCATATTTTTGCCCTTTCAAGACTTTATTAAATTTTTAGAGCATTTTTATG